TGTGCAATAAACAAACACACAGCAATACGCAAGTAAAACTCGCCTTAAAAAAGTCCGTGTCCGATGTTAGAATAGGTAACAGAAGAAACTTAACATAAATTAACAAAGAACTATACTAGCAGTTACTGACATGCAAGCTCCAGACCTCAATTAAACTGATCGAAAGATTATGTCTTCATCATATGAAAATCAACCACAATCTCTCCCTTTAGCCGGGGGTTACGTACCATGCCATCACAAATATTCGATAAAACATAACCATTATCATGCCAGCAACTGGTTTTAGACTAAATGTGTTTATGCAAAGACCCAGCTATTAGTAAATCAATATTGATACACAGAAGTGCCATCTTTAATGATTTGACAACAGTATCAATATCGTAACTATATCTCTTATGCATACGTCTGTTTAAAGCGGGCTTGGTTAGCTTCTGAGGTGAATGGCGGTCGACATGTTTGCGCTTTGTATAGAATATTACCATAAAAGATGGGATGTGAATTACCTGAACATATAAGAAGTCTGCACGTTGATTTATATTTACGAAAAATGTCCTTGTACCGATGATGAAATTTAGTAAAAGTTTTGACAAGTTTGTGATATCGAATACCCTGGTCGGTATTACTTTTTCAGTAATACAGAGATTTCTTTCGTTAAAATCAAATATGTTGTTACATATGCACGAGCGAATCGAACAAGTTGAGATCTATTAACATCATACGATTTTGCCAAGGGAACGTCACAATCTAAAAACGGATAATTGACAATAGGAAATAAAAAAAACATCTCTTTTATCGTAAATTTTAGCATCAAGCTTCCCGTTAGAGATAGAGATATCAAGATCCAGGAAAGGGCAGTGTTCATTGTTAGTATTAGCTTTATTTAAAGTAAGTTCAACATGCTAAATCTCCGTTTAATGTTCCTACTGAAGTCGTCATTATTAAGAGTCAAAATATCATCCAAATATATCTAAAAGAGTTATAAATTTTTTGTATATCAGATGATGTTTCGATTGGTCTTTGTTTGTTTTTATAGACAATGAATGTGGTTCGTACGTTACAATACAGAAACAGGTCCGCAATAAGTTGTACACAATTAATCCCCATTGGAATCCAGATAACTTGGTGATATACGAGGGTCTGGATGGGGGACCTTATTAATTTCTGAATTCTTTAGATATTTAGGTCATATTTCTTTATCTTTGTTAGGTCATATTTGTTTATCTTTGAAATTAACGCTTATTCTGTAAAATTCTCATGAACATTATTTTACTATTACATTTTTCTATAATAAGATGATTTCCTTTTGTTTTCTGTACATGGTTCATTTCTGTAATCAGTATTATTTTTCTAAATTCTTTTATTTTCCACAGTTATTCTTTATTCTTTTGAACTCCATTAGTCTTTATTCGTTATTTTGTTTAAATTTTTCTCTATTCGTTAATTTTTTGGGAATTTTTTTCTCTATTCTGCAAACCCCCTCCAGACCCTAATATACGGAATCTCCATAACGAACAAAAACGTTATCTAGTAATAATTCAAGTGCTGTTATATCAAAGCAGGTCCAATTGACACATTTCTTTTGTTTTCGTATAATAAACATGACCTAAAAGAGTTTGAACACATATATTCATATTCTGAATTTTTAAATGCCCATCTTATTAGGTTTGTGATTTTGTTCGTAATGAGATTATGAGGCAAAGTCGTATATAGGGTAGAAAAATCCAAACTTTGAACAGATTGGGAAGCACCAATATGAGCATGCAATTATCCCAACGAATTTTTGACACTCCAAAAGTAATTAATTCCACTATTTTCGTAGACCTCATTACCAGATTTTTGATTGTACCAAGTGTACTATAAAATTGAGAATGGAAATGGGGAATATGTCAAAGAGACAACAACCCGACCAAAGAGCAGACAACAGCCGAAGGCCACCAATGGGTCTTCAACGCAGCGAGAAAATCCCGCACCCGGAGGTGGTCCTCAGCTGGCCCCTAAATAAAATTGTGTACTAGTTCAGTGAAAATGGACGTCACACTAAACTCCAAAACATATAAATGAACTCAAATTAAAAAACAGACAAGACTAACAAAGGCCAGAGGCTCCTGACTTGGGACAGGCGCAAAAATTCGGTGGGGTTAAACATGATTTGTGAGATCTCAACCCTCCCCCTATACCTCTAGCCAATGTAGAATAAAGAAACACATAGTAATACGCACAGTAAAACTCAGTTTAAAAGAAGTCCGAGTCCGATTTCAGAATAGATAACAAAAGAAACTAAGCAAAATGACAATGACACATAAATGAACAAAGGACTATACTAGCAGTTACTGACATGCCAACTCCAGACCTCAATTAAACTGATTGTAAGATTATGTCTTCATCATATGAAAATCAAGTACAATCCCTCCCGTTAGGGGTTTAGTATCATACCATCATAAAATATATGAGAAGAACATAACCCGTATCATGCCAACAACTGGTTTTAGAATAAATGTGTTTATTTCCGATGCAAAGACCCTATGAGTGAATCAATATTAATACCGAAATATGCAATCCTTAATGACTTGACAACAGTATCGCAACTATATCCTTTCCGAATAAGTCTGTTTAAAGGTTTGGTTAGCTTTTGAGGTGAATGCCGATATTTTTGTGCTTTGTAAAGAATATTACCATAAAATATTGGATGTGAAATACCTGAACGTATAAGATGTCTGCATGTTGATTTATATTTACGAATGATGTCCTTGTACCGATGATAAAATTTAGTAAATGTTTTGACTAGTTTGTGATATCGAAAACCCTGGTGTAATAATTTTTCAGTAATACAGAGATTTCTTTCGTTGAAATCAAATATATCTATATTTGTAAGGTGTTGTGTGCAGCTTTCGGAAGTCAGTACATAGTTGGAATTTTCATGTTGTTCGGTTCTACTTGTAAAGTGGTAATAAAAAGTTTATGTTTGTTAACGATGTAATTTCCCAAAAAAATAGTCAGTTGGAATGTTGGTGAATTTGTTATTTCCTTTTACAGAACCTAGCTCCATATAGAATCTAACGGCAAACAGTAATGATATATTATCGGCAGACTTATCAGCCAGGACAAAAACAATTTCCTTGTAGAGTTCTTTTAGCTTATGTTTGATACGAGAAATAGGGATGATTGTTGTTAGGAGTAAAATATTCGTTATAATCTTTAATACGAATATCAACTATTTCGAGTTATTAAAAAAAAAAGAAACTAAGGATTGGTTGTCAGCTTTTTCTCGCCAGTATATCCATTTAATACAGTAAGTCTGGGGTGAGTTGTCGGGATGATGTTACGACACTCACCCCACTTAATATTTGACGGGGGACGATATTATGTCCTTTAGGATCTAGTAGATATTGAAAATCTGAGTTGCACTATATCTTATAAGTATGCATCAGTATTCGTATGTCTACTAGTAGGTACAGGAATTCCTTTTTGTACTAAAAGAATAATGGACCATTTGTTATGTCTAACTTAAGTTACTGCCCTTTGACTTGGCAAATCTGTGGGGAACAAAATACAAGAAAAATACAAAATACAAAAATACAAGAACGAGCGCTGTGCTGTATGCATGAAGACTATCAAAACTCTTACGAAACACTCCTGTAGATTTCAAACCTTCCTCCACTAAAAACTCATAGAATGTGCCCAATTGCCTTCGATGCCTTTGAAATAATTAATAAAGAATGTCCTGTATTTAGACTTGCTACATGTGCCTTCCTAATTTTTTCTTTTTTTTTCAATTTTCCCCTTTGACAATTTTACTGCTATAACTAAGATATTCCCATTATATTGACACCCGCAGAGGAAAGCGTTTCTCCAAGGGCAATCAGTATACCGGCAGTTTTCAGTAAACATAGAAATTAGTAAAAAAGAAATAAAAGAAAGGGAATTGTTGCAAGTCTATCCTTTATTTATTTAAGATCTAGATGTTACAAAAACAATTCACATCATTTCAGATATTTGAACACTGCTGGGTAACCTAGACCAAGAATCTCAAATTATGGTAAAAGATCTTTTAGATTTGAGGCAGCACAAGTATGGAATTCCCTTCCCATTTGAGATCAAAACTATGACATCTTTTGACCTATTTAGGAATTATATAAATTCCTGGTGTGGGGGTCAAAAATGTAATTGCAGTGCATGCTGTTTCTATTCAGTGCTGCCTCATAGCTGAAAATTCTTCCTTTTTATATCTGGCCTTTTTGTTCTGCTTTTTTATGCATTATTATACATAGCTGCTATTAAATGCCAGTGGTTGATTAATTAGATTATTTATTTATGCTTTTTCATCATTTATTCACTTCATCATAACAATCAACGTCAACGTCACAGTTAGACCATCGCACTTCAGCGTAACCACCAACGCACATCAGCGTAGCTATCAACAAGTTGGCGTCACAATATGTCACCATCGCACTTCAGCGTGATCATCGCGGTTCGGAGTACCATCGCGGTTCAGAGTCCTACACATATATGCCGACTTTACACTTACTGACTTAGTTACTTACTACCGAATTCCCGAATTTGACTTGTACTCAGTGCAAAAATTAATCTTTTTAAAGTTTTCATTTTATTTATGACGCCACAATGTGTTAAACTAATCAAAGGCGGACCTCCCTGAAAACATCATGCAGCGACCACATGAAAGTAAACTGGTCAGTCTAAATATACGTTGACAAGTCAAGTCAGAAATATAATTATTGTGTTATATGTCTCTGTTGTTCAAGTTATTTAAAACATAACTTAAGGTATTGTATATATTTGATTACGTATCGTCAATCGTTGATTCTTTAGGTTTCACAAATTGATGTTTTTTTTGTTTCGTGACGTCATCTGCAATTGCGGATAAAGAGCATTAAAAACCCGTAACTTCAGAGTGTTCTAGATTTTCCCCCGTTTTTCGGAAAAGTTTTTTCGGAAACACATATCTGACGGTAGACATGTTTTTAAATGAAACAGACTATAAGTAACCTTGACATCGGAAAACCCTTAACCAGTTAACATATCCAATCATCATGACTGTTTACAATTAATATATTAATATTTCTACTCACTAAAAGCAGCATTGTGAAGATTGAAGTTAGAAACAATGGAATTTTTACAGTATATTTTTATAGTTATTGTGATGTTATATAACTCTGGTAAGTAACTTTAGAAAATATCGCGTAGCTCGCTTGTGTTTACCATAATTTACGTTTTGACAGTTCTAGGCTCCAACAATTTACGCACGTCGGTAATATCATATAGTCTGTAAGTGATAATTGTTTAGTTTTCAATTTATAAATAAACCCATATAAACCTGCCTTTTGTATTTTGGTCTAAGTTACGTTTTTCAACTGTTTCTAAATCACCAAAGAAATACCTATATGGATCTGAATAAGTTGGTTGCAATAACAAAATCACAACACAACATGTTACATTATGGTATGGCAAATCTACCCTCTTAATACTTACTTTATATGTCAGTACTGTTTGAAGCATAAGTCCGCTACACTCAGCCTACAGTCATCATATTAAGAAAATCTTTATAAAAATTTCAATAAATTAGTTCAAAAAGATAAAGAAAAGGTAATTTTATTTTCTTATGCATATTGTTAAATCATCAATTCAAGAATGAACTACCAAAAAAAAAAAGATATTGGGCTGTTAAAAAATTGACTAAGTTATTTTGTATATCTTTATCATAACACATTGGAGTGACATAATGTATTAATTTGATGAAAGGATTTATTTGAAATGGAATTTTCATTGTTAATAGAGGTTTCTGTTGTAATTTACACACTAAACAGTCAGAGATATAACTCTATAGGGTTATTACAGAAAATAACTTGCGTGTGTTATTACAGATACTTTCATGAGTTGTCTACTCTTTATTCCTTAAATTTTCTAAATCTGTAATAACATATGTTTGTTATTTGTAAAATAAATCAAAAATATTTTAATTTATAGTGGGCTCTAGGGAACTCTTGAGACTTTGCGCAGAAACTAAATACATAGCCTTGATAACTATTTTTTTAATTAAATTAATACATTTTTTATTAACCATGGTAAATCAATGAGACGAGGCTTTTAAGGGATACACTTAGCTGTAATAACAAGGCTTAGTTATTAAGGGAATGCAACTTATTATATGAGACACTTGGGAATTACTTGGAAGCTTGCACAGAACCTCATTACATGCTCTGGTCATTATTTCTTACAATAAATTAAAAGACATTGTAATTAAGCATGATGTATGTCTTAGCAAATGCTTTGGAGTGATGTAGAGAAGCTGTGATAACACCCTTTAGTTATTACAGGCATATTTTTTCTGTAATAACATATAGGTGACTTATTAGGTGTACTATGCAAAATTGGCAAACTATGAACTGTTATATCTTTCTATAGTTAAGTATACATAAAGACAATAGTAATATCAATAGAACTTGTATACATTTTAACTAAACTAATGATGTATATTGTCCCTTTGAAACATGTAACATACATATGTTATCACAGTTCTTTGATTTTTAGTCCACAATAACAAAGTATGTTATTTTTCTGTAATAACCCTATAGAGTTATATCCCTGACTGCTAAAAGCTCCTAAGATCACTAACTTTCCCAGTAAAGCTATCATATTACCATGGACCTTACTCAAATTTTACCACGTAAACTATTTTGATTTTTTTTAAATGAAAGTTTTCCAAATTGAAATGTCCAAAAAATTTTATGTTGTTTTTCATTAAAAGATTTAGATTTTCATAAAATTGAGCCTTTCATTTAGCTCATGATACTATTTATGAAACATTTTACCAATAGCATTGTAAATCGTTAGTTACAAGCCTTAGACAGGGAAATTTACCAGACAACATCATATTTCTGTATCGATTGCATCTTTTTACAATTCACTATAACTATTAAATAAATAAAAAACTAACTTAAACTGTCAATATATAGTTGGCAGTCTTGTAATTGAGTCCACATTCATTGATAGTGATACAGACTCAGTATATAATAGAGGTTCCAATAAAATTTTGACATGACAAGAGAAAATGTCTGATGCCACAGTGCAAAATTGATTATGACATCATTAGATGAGTTTCACAGAATCCTAAATAGCACTAATGTCTTTTTGAACTGGATATGCTGAATTATCATATTAAAAAAATAATAAAAAATAAATTTGCTCTAAGAAATCTTACAAATATGACTAAAGTCAATGAAAAATCATTGTTGTAGGTTATGTCATGTTAATTTTTCAAGCTATGCAAGGGTGTCACAAAGATGAGATAAATAATTCACCTTAGATTTGACTTAAATTTTTTTCTATATATACTTTTATTTTTAAACACTGCACTGTGCAATTTATTTCTGTAGTGAATCTTCAAACCTCCAGTAACTATTCCTCAATCAAGGATATTTTTGAAAGTGATAAAGATGGAAATATTTTGATTGTTTTGGTTATTAAGTGCCAGTCTGCCTAAGAATCAGGTAGTGGTGAAAACATGACAAACTTAAACCCACTCAAGTTGACATTAATTAATGTTCAAAATGAATAATGGTGCACGAATATAACATTCGTTTCCTTTTCCTGTTCTGGTAATTCAAGATATAATTTGGTTGAAATGCACTAGAAATTAACAATTAAGGGGAGATAATTCCGTAATTTGCTATCATTCTAACCAAAAGTTATCCAGAGATTTTTTGAATTACCAGACACGCAGAAATGAAAGACATACTATTTCTAACTCAGGATGAGGGTAACTTCAAAATAGGATGGTTAGGTCGGTGGGTTTTTTTTCGGCCATATTTTGGATTATTTTCAAAATTGCCTGATTCTCACAAAGACTGGCACTTAATCATGTTAATATGCAAACAAATATTTTGTTCCCATTGCAGTTGGAGTATCATCAGAAAGTTGTCAACCCATTGTGGATTCTTTAAGGAAATATGGATATGTTTACACTTACAATGGCATCTGTTATGTGTTTTTGAACCATGAAAAAACTTGGGTTGATGCTCGGCATAGATGCGAGGCATGGGGAGGGGATTTAGTGCATATACCAGATCGAGGCACCATGAATTTTATAAAAGGAGTAATGGATAATCAGCTTCGTTGGAGAAATAATGGTGTGTGGATAGGACTACATAACAGAGGATCTGGTGGATGGCGTTGGACTACAGGTACACATGTTTACAACTTTACATCATTGTATGTCAATAAAAACCCAAATCAGGTCTTGTATGTATTTATATGCTGCATTTATTACATGTAGATTGACAAAATATCTAGACATTTTTACATTAACAATAGTTCTCAGGCTTAATATTACTAATAATCATGATCAGATAATATCAAACTTCGTCTCTTGAGGTTATGGCCTGGGGTTTCAACAAAAATTATGGTATAATTTATGAAACACTGAGAAAAAATATGTGAAATATCTATAACTTGTAAAGTAAGATATGATCCTTGTGAACCTGTTGGTCCTTTCAATAAACTCATTTCTGTTATTTCAAAGGGTTGAATAATGGCTCTTATCAGTCTTCACTGTGCTTGTATCACTCTGCTCTGCTCTTCATAAAATCATGGCTTTGTGATGTAAAATATCCTTGACCTGGACTTATTATCAAAGCCATAATATTCTACCCTACATTGATAAGCTTATCCCCAACTTATCAAGTCCCTCTTCTGGTTTGCTGTAAAAGAAAACTATTGTTTCTATCATAAAAAAACACACACAAAGACAATCAATTATTCTATTATCAGGTTTTCATCATTGCTTATGTACATTATCAGCTGCTCAACACAATATAAGGCCTTTATGAACTGTTATTCGCTGCGCTAATTTGACAAAAAGCTTCATAATGTTACACATGTACTTGCAACTGTTATATACAGTATCAGTATGCTCAAAACATGATAATTCATTCTTATGCAAATGTACATCCTTCTTTGAGATGTATAAAATGTGTGAGATCTTTCATAAATTACATGAGTTATGGATTCATTATTATTCTTGGGATACCAATTTTTGTGGATTTTGTGGATACAAAAGACTCACAACTTATAATGATCAACAAAGTATAAATTTTCTACAGGCTTGTACCTAAAACTGACAAAACCTCAAAATCAAATATCCATGAAAACAGAATTTTTCGCCAATCAACAAAAATTGATACCCACAAAAATTAATGAATTAATTGACTTTGTAAATATATATATTATGATTTTTTTTCTTTAAAGGTCAACCACAGACCTTCAACTACTGGGATTCAGGACAACCTAGTAAAACTTTTGGATTTATTTCTTTTGAGGACTGTGCCTGTATGAGGAGAGGGGACGGCTGGCGGTGGCATGATTACATGTGTGATAACGGAATGTTTACATACAAATACATCTGTCAGTTCCGTAAGTATCTATGATTTTTCTTAATGTTTTGGCCAGTAATCTGTATAGTCTTATATAGTCCTTGATATTCATTGTGTTATTTGCTAGTTCTTGAAAAATCTGTAAAGACTTTCTGACAAAACTCTGACAATCTCACAAAACATGTTTAATCCCATCACATTTTTGCACATGTCCCAAGTCAGGAACCTCTAGCCTTTTGTGTGTTTTTTTTTAAATTTTGGTTCATTTGTATGTTTAGGAGTTAAATGTGGCATTCATTTCACATCAGTCAATCAATCAGTTCTTTTTTGTAACATTTTTATTTTCTTTTACCACTTGTCCTCTAAAAACTAACATTATGTTGCATATTTCACTGGTCTAAAGACCAATATGATATTATTTTTAGAACTGTCCAAAATGTCAAATTTCATGGAAAAAAGGAAATGAACATGTGTAAGTGTTACAAAAATGTAATTTGGCTTGTATGGGGTCTCTACCTTAGTCACACTTTTTTGCTTACTATCACATGACTATTTTTTTTTTTTTAAAAAGTCTCTCAGATTGTTTGTATTAAGATTATTTATATTTGGAAGCTATTAAATCAAGTGTTCCTAGCAGTAAAGTGGAAGTCATCCTACTTTAGAATATTAGTCACTTTTTTACTTACTATTTTGTAATAATACTTAAGTCTCTCATGAAACTTTTATATTCAAAGATCATGAGAAAATAATCAGTACAACAGTCAACTGAACGTGTACAAATTTTCTCATATATATATCATTTATATGTAGAAATCCAGGATGAAAAACCAAGGACTTCTATAAAGATCCTCCAATTTACAGCAGTTGTTTAAAAAATATCCAACTATATATAATGTCAAAGATACATTTGTAAGTCATTTTGGCTGAAGGTATAAGTGTATTAAAGTTGACCACACACTGATGTCACTTGACCATTGGTGGAATCTGTATGATGACCTTTAGATATATTTGCACTACATTCAACACCTGAAAAAAAATGTATCAAGTATTTTGATAAAGAAAATTTCGTTAGTTATGCTTGTTCAAAGGGAGACAGAAGATACCTAAGGGTCAATCCAAAATCATAAGTAGAAGAAAAACCGACTGCTTTGAAAATTGCCAAAATGACTAACAGCAGTCTACCAAGCACAGCATGGAAAACTAAAGACTTAGCAACACCAATCCCCCCAAAAAACAGGAGATGATCTCAGGTGCTCCCGAAGTGTAAGCAGATCCTGCTAGAGATGTGATTCCGAATGTGTTGCTGATGGCAAGTACAAAATATGTGATAAGTCTCATTTTGTGATGTCATTATCAAGATAAGGAGGACATGATTGTGGCTACGACAATTGGTATATATATGTGGTCATCTGTGACAGGAATACTCCATAACTGTCAACCAAATTGTGATGGTGTCAGCAAACCTTTTGAGGGGATGACTTCAACTTTATCACTAGGAATCCTTGGTGTAAAAGCTTCGTTGTAGGCATCTACCCTCTGTCAAGGAAATCATGATAGGAAGCAGAAGCTGGAATATCTTTCAACTTGGGAGATATATACTCCACATGCAGGTGCTGCTGGAATGTTGCTACACAGAAGTGGAAAGTTCACAACAGGAAAGCTGAAATTGACTATTTTTCTTGTTCAAGAAAAAATTAATTATGTGCAAATCAAAGCATTGATATGTTTTCTTGAGATTTCTATTCTGTATGACATCCCTTCACCTCAATCAGTGATGTTGTTTTGAAAGACGAAACCAGAAAAAAAAAAAATTCTTCAGTGCATATTGATAATTAAATTATGATCTTTGATTTGTCATTCTTAGTCCCCTACCAACGAAGTCGAAGGGGACTTTAGGTTTGCGCTCGGTCTGTCTGTCTGTCTGTCCATCCGTCAGTCCGGCAAATCAGTTTTCCACACTTTTTTTCTTTATGCTTGAAGATATTGATTTGATATTTGGTGTATTGTTTTATCATGACAAGTTACAGATCAAGTTCGAATTTGTTCTGGTCTGATGATTTTGTGGAGAGTTATGGTCCTTGGACTTAGAAAATTTACTTAAATAATCAGTTTACAACACTTTTTTTCGTCATGCTTGAAGATATTGACTTGATATTTGTTATATAGTTTACACCATGACAAGTTGTAGATCAAGTTAGAATTTTGTTCCAATACCAATGAATTTTTTTAACTGGTAGGGGACTATGTATTGCCATGCAATACTCACAGAATGCTTGTTGATTGATGTAATTCTCAGCATTTTACAATTGTGAACAAAATATGAAAAGACTAGCAATTTTATTATTTTAGCCATTTAAGTCTATTGTCTTCTTCTGTAAAAAGGGAAATTTATTATATATACGGTATACAGCATAATACCTTTCTGATTATTGTCTATGACCATTTGATTTAATTTGGGGGTGAGTTTATGTTAGATACAATTTCCATCTTTTATTGGAACTTTTAAAATGCATTGTATTTTTCAACGAAAGAAGATTTTGATTTTAGCTTTTAAGAGTTTAAGCCTTTATATCTGAGATAAAAATTGCATTTAATGAATAAGTGTATCTATGATTCAAGCTTACATAAACTAACTAGCTTGCTGTACTAAAGCTTTGCAATACAAGAAAACTGATTAGTTTATAAACTAAGCTGGCATACAGATTTGGTCCATGGTTTGTTATATTCATGTAAACTAAGCTGGCATACAGATTTGGTCCATAGTTTGTTACATTCAGGTATTTGCTATGAGATAGGTATAAGGTATATCATTGTAAGGTAAGTTCATTGGATGCCATGTCTGACAATTTCAGCTACTGTCTGTTACCATCAATGATATTTGGCTTCCAGACCCTATTCATTAACAGCAATATCTAGAACCAAGTTTACAGTAGAATATATATGTCAAATGATAGATTTTTGTCATGATAAAAACAGGATAAATATGATTAAAAAAAAACTTGTAATAAGGGGCACCATGGGTGTGGAAGCTGTTGTTCAAAATCTGATAAGTGTGTATTTATGATGGATTTAGAAAGGGTGTGAGAAAAACATTTCTTCTAATTCATCCTACAGACATATAGGTGGAAATGTCTGAACTGTAAAGCAGACATAAATATCTTACATGGCACATTTCTCATGAAGTCAGTTACACCTGTCAATTGCATAACTATTTCAAAGACATCAACATGTTAACATCTTCACCCTCATCAAGTACACCTATAAACAAATCTTCAGAATCATGAGAACATATAGGAATTTTAATTACTGTAAATTTAAATGTTCTCTTTTTTTCCAATATGGTACATGTACATAATGTTGTATCCACAGCCCTTATTCATTAAATGACTCTTTAGATTGTACATGTACAGGACCTACATGTATTCTAATGCAATTAAATTATTACATTTTGTATCACGATTTTGATTGGTCAACATCATATACTTTGAGGGATAGATTCCACGGTCTACCTGTCTGTGACTAAGGGGAGCTACTATTTTGAATTCTGGAATTTATAATTATGTGAAAAAACACATGTATCACCTGAATTTATCCTTATCAAATTTTATTTCGTTCTGAAATGTACATAAAGCCAACAAATGTCTGAAGTTTACGCTTGACGCCAGAATCATATTAGTGACGTCATGCTTGTAAGGTTTCAAAGATGAGAACAAAGTTTTGCAGAATTTTCGATTTATGTGTTTTCTACCCCAGAAAGACATCTTAAACTGAATATTTGTTAGTTTTGCATTAGAATGGAGATAACTATATTGTATTTAAAGCTTGGTCTACATAAAACTTGGTTTTACTGTTGCAAATATTTGTTTACCTAGCTGGGCTACATGTCAGTTTGAGACCGTATGCAATACAGTTATTTTCTAATTATCAGGAAGGCAGTTCCCCATTAAGAACATATAAACCTACCAATTAAAGTATTACAATTCAGTTTCTTAGAGAACTGTGTTGTAATCTTGATGTTACATCTCAATTCAGGAGATCTGATTAAAATCAGATCTCTATAACTATAATGTTTCTAAATGTGTCATCTTTGTAAAAAGGGTGTCAACAAAATTGTTCAAATCAGCCCAAGAATAGTGAAATTTTTACTGCTGGTGTGCTTAAACTTTGTAATTGCCTAGCAAGGTAGCAAAACTATGGATTACCATTGTAATGCAAAACATAAAACTTAACAATACTAATATCTCCAATGTACATGATGTATAGGCTTCCTTTGTATATTTTCCATCTTTTAGAAATTGGAATGGCTTTTTTCTCCCATCAAGCAAATGCTGAACCTAAATTTAATATGTAGACATGAAGGGATGTTATATATTTGATTGAGTATTTTACTTATTACAAATTTATGGTTACATGTAAATAATATATCAGACATTGAGGTCAACATTTTAAATAATAGTTGACTGGTAAAGTGTAAACATAAAAGGTTATATGCAGTACAAATCATGTGAATAGCTTGGACTTTGTAGCATAATGTGTGGTTAATATGATATCATCGTAGGTTGTGGTGCATTTTCACTTTTACTTTCATAACACTTAGTTGCACAACTAAATGTAGTTTTACCTTAATTTTTTTTAAAATGCTTTTTAGTTAGCTTTTAATACTAAAATGATTCACAAACTTTCTTTTAATTACAATCTCTGGGATTATTCTTTATTGTCTTTTTTCTGTTTGATGCTTTTATGATCTGTAATTGTATATTTTTGTGGAAAACCTCAGTTGCGGTATGCAGGGATAAACTTTTGGTGGCAGGGGACTTCTTCTTTTTGCCAAGCTTCTTCTAGTCCAGGCTTTATGTAGTCTCACAGATTTTTTTTGCCTCATTATTTCATTTGGCTCATTTATTTGCTTGCCGTTTCTGGAGTTCCTTAGCTTTATGCATTTTGGCTCTTATATTTACCAACTTTTTTCCTGTATAAAGGTATGTTACCTACAACAACAACTACAACAACTACAACCACAGCTAAACCAACCACCACCACCATCACCACCACCACCAAAACATCAACCAGTATTGCAAGTTCTAGTACGGTGACAAGCGACAGTGTCATGAACTTATTTAATCCTGTATATAACAAACCTACGGAGACCTCCACTGCCAATACGGTTAATGATGTTATTATTAAAGGATATCCTGCAGGTTTGTTCATCAGTCATCCATGCTTATCGTTCCTCTATAGCTAGAAGTGTATAAGTACATTGCAACATTCCTAACCTTCATTTTGCTTGAAATTTTACTTCATTTATATATATTATATAATATTATTTGTGTTCACCGAATGTTTTGTTTTGCATTCTCACAACCGATTTAGTTTGTTTACCTCTGGAATTAATTTTTGTTCTATTCTGAAATGCTAAATGGGAAACTTCTGGCAGGTTGTGGACCCTTGATAATATTGGTATTTTTTTGAAAATCAATGAGTCTTTTCAATTTCAGAAAAAAATATACACAACTTTTCTTTCATTATACATATATAAATATCAAATTCAGTATTTCTCCATTATCATGAATATTTGAACAGGTCATGACTATCCTTAGTAAATTCACTGCAACTGAAATATTTTAAATGGATTTATTTTCTTGACCTCTCACAGGCTGAGTATCTTTCAATACTGACTGCTGTTTTCAAACCTTACTCATACAACAATCCTGAGAGCAGTCTTGTGGAATCAAGGCCTTTGCTGTGATTTTCCCATGAGTTTGATACACCAATGGCTAGTTTAGATTTGATTGATAGATAACAAGTCAATGGTTATTCATCTCTCCTTAATTTTCCCCAGAATTGTAAGTTTGAGAGACAAGATATTACTTGTACACAGAAGGATGCTCTTAAAGCATGAATCATAGAGCCCATTGAAGGTCACTGCAATCTGAATACCAAATTATCATAAGTTTTAAACATTTGATAGATAGGAACTTCTATAGAAATAATTGATAAGTTGTTATTTTTTTTTAAACCTCTTTATGAAATAAAAATAGCAGGCACGGATCCAGGATTGGAAGTTGGAGGGGCTCTTGATAATTAGGAGTTTACAAAAAGGAGAATGTAATTTCACCTATAAATTACATTTTTTTCTGTTTCTGTTCTGGGGAGGAGGGGGTGGCGGTGGCGGTTTTACGCCCACATCTCATGATCTGAATCCATGTCTGGATAGAGACAAAAAGTGTTCTTTAAATGGAGTTTAAAAGCTATTTGACATAGTAAAAACATTTTGGTCATTGTATTTTAATATTTTATATGTTACTTAACAATGATCATACTTGTGATAGTAGTCAAGTTTATTTACATTAATACATATTCTAAATAAGGAAGTATTACCACAGCAAAGTCTCAAGAATTATCACTTAAGTATATTTCATTGTTTATAAGATCAAGTATTTCCTACAACTCAACTAATTATGAACAGTATTTTGTTGTTATTATACTAATAATAGTTTGCATGTTTAGTAACAGGAATTTTAATTGTATGACTTGTTTTGCATGACTGTTTCTTTATTAATTGATATATTTAATCATCAAGGAAACCATGCATTATGCTATATTGTGCTTCGCCAAAGTTTATTTAATCTAATATTAAATGTTAGATAAAAAATTATGCATTTCCACAGGATGCATAACAAAATGATAGAAGAAAGTTAACAAATACTCTGTTTCTGAGAACGAAACAAAATGACTCAAATATTACTGTATTTAACCTGTCAATATAACAGTTAATGATCCTATCTGATGAATACTAAGTACATGTAAAGAAATGAAGTTGATTTCTTCTGTAAGCATTACCCTGCATGAGCATCTGAGTTCAACAAGTCATTTTAGTGGAGTCTGTTGCTCAACCTTGTGGTTTTGTGGACTTGTCTATCTTTTCATCATTTTTATATCCCCGTCTTAAGACAGGAGGTATTACTGTATACCGTTGTCCGTCTGTCCCTTCCATCGTCAACATTTTGGACAACAACACAAAAATGCTTTCACCAATTTTCATGAAACTTTGCTAAATTGTTTATATCTATTGACGTAACTTCCGTAAGCTCCATTTCGATTTTTATAAATTTTTTATTTTAGGATTCTGAGTGATAGGATTTTATTGATAAGAAAATGGGAAATTTTCCAGTTCTCAGACTATAACTCAAAAATGCTTTTAGCAATTTTCATGAAACTTTGGTGAATTGTTTATATTTATTGAAATAAGCTCCCTTTTGTTTTTTTTATAAATTTCTGATACAACATTGCTGAGTTATGGGGGTCTATTTGAGCAATGCTCACAGTATTTCTAGTTGATCATATAAATTCATTTATTAAAAGCATTAAGACAAGCTAAAAGAGCGATGGGCAAATCATGCGCTCATGGTGCAGCACTTAATTCTTTTTGTCATGGGGCCCCTTGTTTTTCTTTGACTTATTTATGGTATTTGGTTTCCCTTTTGGTTTTTACTTCAATTAATGGCATTGCAAATTTTTTTTTTTTTAAGGTTTGATTGTTTGTTTTAAAATTTCATGAAAATATATTCTTATAATAAATTTACAATCATGTATGAAGTTCTTCATGGTAAATTTGAAATGTTTTTGTACATATAAACTGGCTTTTTTCAGGAAAATCTTTTTAAAACAAAACATGATTGGAACAATTAATTGACAATTATGACTTTGATCAGTTATGATTGGAATAACTGTGACCTTCATGTAATTGACTAACGTACAGTCCTGACTTAGTACAAATACTTAACAAATATAAACGGTAGGTTAAAGGTTAAATGGACCATTTCAGTCAAACATGTGGACAGAGAATCAAAAATACATTTTGTTCCAATTTCCGATGTAAGTACAGTATTTCTGTTCATCCTGTTCAGAATGACTCTATCCTCCCACACAAAGGAAGAGACTGTTATACAACAATGATTAAATGGCCTTGGTGTCTCCATCAGAACAGGGGTCTCCCAATCATAACATTGTTGTGGTCAGTTTGAAAGATAACAGAAAGACAGATCACATGCCAACACTCGAACTTCTCTTAAATAAATGTTTTCTCTGAAACTTGAGTACAACAAAATCAGTTCCAGCTGACTTCAAACATGCCAAAACTGTGTGTGTGTTGTGAAAAAAGTTTATTTTGTAGCATGTATCATTCATATATTCATGTCATGGATAATTTATCTGCAAAAAAAATAATGTTTAAAAACATTTAATTGCTAATAAAAGTTTAAAAAAATAAAGTATGAACAAAACTTATCTGCTACCAGTACTGGTGATAAAATAAGGGAAGGAAAATATATCAAAAATTTTTCTTGAACCAATGTTGACAGATGCTGCACGTTTGTTATGTCGACCATGTTAATTATATGTGGGTGTTTTCTCAGCATGTTTAAGATTGTTATGGTGCTAGTACTTCCTGAATGTACTTAAACTAGTAGTTGTCTTTTGTTTTATGTAGGAAAGTGTTTATATAATATCCTGATTTAATATAAGTATTTTAGTAGAAGATCATATATGTACTTGATATTTAAGTTAATTCTTTGAACTCGGACACTGACCGCAAAAGATAAAAATCCCCCAATATTTGGAACTGAATTTTTGAAAGTTTCTTATAAAAATGAAAAGTATTCATAGTATTTTAACAACAAACAAAAAAAGATTTTGTATTTACGCCTGCTTTATTTACAGAAATTTTACTAATTCTTCTAAGTACAGGAAATATTGTTAATACTACTTCCTTTAATTTGATACAGACTTCACTTGGTTAGATGAGCACTTATAATAGTTACTAAATAAAAATGAACAAAAAAATACTGTTGTCTGAATTGAAAAAAAATAATAAATAAAATCATTTAACTTCCCCTGGCCTTACTTTGAAACCTTTCCAAATCAGACTTAAATATCTTGATGAAAATGAAAATTTTCAGAAAGATCCATTTTAATAGATAAAATATATAAGATGTATCAAAAAAGAAAGAAAAATGGTAAGTAAAATGTCTATAATGACTTATTTATCTACTGCCTTCTCAGATATCTGAATCACTTTATTGATAAACGATAAAAAATCATTCATAGACATGAAATATTTGTGATTATTAATTTGGATCCAATACAAGTCCTGACTAAGGTCTGACTCTATCATTTAACATTGTAATTAGTAAAATATTTCTATAGTCTATTTCATGATGATGGTATAAACAGTTTACAATTTCACATGGGTACAAGATTTAAACATCTGTACTAATTTATAAATATTTTTTTAGGAGTATGAAACTTAGAGATCTGGGTTTAATGTGAAGTGCTTATTTCAATGATAACTGAATGAATTATCATGACACCTATTGTGATAAAGATTATTTTAAAAGGTTATCAGGAAAGTAAAGTAGTAATTTCCAGTTCCCTATCTCTCGGACAAATATTTGTTTCCAGCTGTTTTTCCAAACAACATATTTCCTGTCCAATACAAGAAAGTTAAAAAATTCTAAGAACAATTTTCACTCAGTTGTATTGTATATTTACATCTACTACAAACATCCAATGCCTTCTTAAATCACACCATGTAATTTTTAAGTGGCAAAAATTAAAGCAGTTTTAGATGTTTATGTTTTATTAAACCTGGTGTTCTCATCTTACAAACGTATTTTCATTTGCATAAGATAAGGAGATGTGGTATGATTGCCAATGAGAAAACTACCCAACACAAATGAAGCGGATTTAAGCAACTATAGGTCAGCTTTCAACAATGAGCAAAACTCATACTGTATAGTCAGCTATAAAAGGCACAGACATGACAAAATGTGAAACAATTCCCATGAAAAAACCAACAACCTGATGACAAACAATAAACAACAAACAAATAAGACTGTCGTCAACTAATGACACACCACTAAATACATGTAACAGGCCCCAGCGACTCTTTTCACAAAAAAACTTACGAGTAAAACACTTGTAAGTCATGAACATTTCAGTATAACTTACGATCGATTTTAGTCGTAAGATTTTTTGTGAAAAGAGCCCCTGACTTGGGACAGGCACAATGTCATTTATAATGTGGTGGGTTTTAACCTGTTAGTGTGCTCCCAACCCTCTCTTAACCTGGGACAGTGGTGTAACAGCACAACATAAGAGCAAACTGTAAAAATCCGTTGAAAATGGCTTAACTTAATTTTTCAGATCAGGACAAAGCACAAAAAAAACCCAACTAACATAAAGACACCAATTACTCACAGTTACTGAAAGCTAGTTCAAAGCCAATAACAACATATAAATATGTCATGTTCATCCAGACTAAAGTACCAATCAGTACATATCCAACAGATTTAGTGTAACTTAGGATCTTTTTTATTTTGATAATTCACAAATTTTTGTGTGTATTTATTATAACAATTGTTTAACAATTGTTGCGATACTAACCCGGCCACAATTTTAGCAAAAAATAAAAACATTACTAAACTTTCTGAATTTACTGTAGATAGTTAGGGTTAAAAAATCAGAAGTTGTGATAAGGTTGAATAAAGATTAAAAGCCAAAAGTAGCATGGAAAATTGTTCTTCCTTATTAATTGTATTAGTTACTTGGTGAATAAAGTAATACAGGTATACAAAGAGCAAGGATTTTAAGACACCTCTTCACATGGGAAAATAGATCTGTGTGGGTGTGTACATTACTTTCTGTATTATAATGGACAAAAAAATACTTTAGCCAGGAGATAACCATAAGTAAATAAGCTCTCAAAATACTGAAAGAAATTATGAAACAACTGGAAATAAAGAACAGAGATTTTAATAAAAACAAATCTTACATATAAGATTTTAATATAATGAGAGTTATTATTATTATAATAATGCTTCAAATGTATCTCTGTATAGATTTGTCAAAATGTCTAATTTCCTTTCATCCACTGCAGTAAAATTTTATATTGCTAAATAATTTGTTTACATCAATCAGTCTAGCTAATTTAATTATACTTTTCCATTGTTGAATTTTCTGCATTAAGGAATGGGAATTGTGCACTTGGTGACATAAAGTGCTAAAAAATCTGCAAAATCAATAAACTATGTGACAAATAGTGTGGGATAGGATATTATATTCTTCAAAAAAATTCTCTAAATTAAGTATACGATGCACTTGGTGATGGATGTATATTGATCTGGAATCGTGTTTTAAAGACTGCCATTTTCTCTATTGATTTTTCAAACCTACTAAGGAAAATATGTGCTGTTATCTTTTATGAAAGAATGAAAATGGAAAATTACTGTAGTGCATCAATCAATACAGTGTAACTTACTTCATGTTGTTTTATAAACAGAAATAGGGCGTCAATAAACTTTCACACAAAAATGTGAAATTTTTAAAAAGGTCAAAATTTATCACAAATAGGAAATGAGAGATTATGTCATTATGCAAATGTTATTATGTCTAAAGGAATGGACTGAATTAAAGAAATATGACCATTTTGTTTAGATTTAAAGAAATGTTTATAGATTTTTATAAAACTTTAAATGGCTAATGAGGCCCCACATGGGGGTGTCCAAGTAATCACATAATCACAAATTTTTTGCCAATATAATCACATAATCATTAATTATTTTTCTAAACACGATAATCAAATAATCAAAAATACAGTCCTAGATTATCAAATAATCAAATAATCATGAAATATTTGGTCTGGTAATCAAATAATCATTATAAAAACAGCCAAGTAATCACATAATCAAAACCCCATGAGGAGGCTCGCTAATCATATGTGATTTGACAACAAAAATATGATAATATGAAACTTTATGAAAAGATTACAGGGGAAAATATAAAGAGCAGGAATGCGTCTCCAAATATATTTTTTAATTGCAATATTTATCCAATTTTGCTTGCTGTAGCTATAGTGTAGGCATAATTCTTAGAGTTTTTGTGCTATAAATGCCTAAGTAAAACAATATTATTTAATTAACTCCAGAAGACTAAGAGATGAATAGAAATATATTATAAATTGAGTGTAAGAGTAAAAAGGGGGAGGGTTGATTTATGATTAAACTCTCAGTCTGAGAATCAAATGATAGTATGTATTTTTTGCGCACAGGGTGAACTGTGAATAAAAGGGGTATGTGAGGTATATTTCAATGAGACAGCAACCATTAAACACAATAAAACCTGGTGAAAAAAATCTAGAAGGCAATAATATTTTGAAAGATAGGAGCTGAAGTGTTGTTATCTTTATGTGGTTTCACTATTTAAAGGAATATCTTATTATTTTCAATCAAGTTGTGGACTTGGGAAATGCTCCATCACCCATCACAAATACAGTATGGATGTGTGATATGTCTGATATGTCTGATAGATCTGTTACTGTAGTTATGTATAAGTTATACCACTTCTTCAGACCCTGTTATACCTTTGATTGAACATAGATTTATTATATTTACAGATTCATCAATAGGAATCCAGGTTGCCAAAAATATAGAGAGGTCTCGCCAAGGTGAAGGTCTCAGTGATGGCAGCAAAGGTATTTATATATCATTATTTTCATTTAATCAGTTTTTGGAGTTAAATAGTCCAAATTGATGAGAATATTAGCTGCCTGTAGACACTGATTATGGAGCATTTTAACTAATTTCCTGGATTTATTTCTGTAGCATTTTATTTGATGTGGTATTTATTAGTTATCCACCCCACATCTGGCCCCACATCTGGCCCCACATCCAATCTTTATCAACAGGAAAACTACATTTGTTTTGATTTGTTTGTGTCATTGGGTTGCTGTTGCTAAAGCATATCTTTTAATTTACATCTGGACAACATTATACAAATGTATCACAATGTTGACATTGTGGATAAATATTATACTTGTAATTATATCATAATTAATAAGGGAAATTTGTATATTAAACACATGTTAATATACATTTCAGTTCATTATTTCATCAATAAGTTTGCACTCAAAAGCATATATGAATTGTCAATTGCAGTTATGTAACAAAGTGGGCACATTTTGGGGAAATTATATTTGTCAGAAGTTATAAAGTTGTAATCAGTTGTAATGGGCAGCTGTCCTTCCTCAAAGATAAAACAGTACTTTAATAGTTTCATTTGCTTGCTGTCTGTAATAATTTGATTGCAGATTTCAATGAAATAGTCTTTTTACTTCACTGGGTTATATAATATATGTGCACTTTGTCCTTCCTCAGAAACCTTAAGTTCATGAAGTTTAAATTCTTGTTCCCATTGACATTGTGGTAAATTCATATCTTCCTGAAATATTAGTAATTTTTGAGTATTCTTTATTTTTGAACTTTAGGGTAGGGCTTAAAATTGAAATAAAAAATGTAAATGATGATCTGTATAAGGAAACATTATTGAAATTAGTTTATAAGTTATGCATGAGTGCTTCTGAATTTGTTTTACTTAAATAGTAACAATATGAATGAATGAAAAGAGATGTGGGGTATATCTCAATAAGACAGAAACCCATTGACTCCAGATATTAGAAGGATTATTGTTTTAAAATGGTTTCCCCAGCTAAAAAGAGCAACTGCTAAAACCATGAAATCCATTGAAAATAAATTAAACAAAAAATATAAAAATTTTGATGAATTTGATTACGGTATTTTATCATTTGTCTCTTTTACAATGAACCATGTTGTATCCTCATAAACCAGACATCACAGCTACCTGGGACCAAAGGGACTCACACCAATAAAATGTATCCTCATAAACCAGATATCACAGCTACCTGGGACCAAAGGGACTCACACCAATAAAATGTATCCTCATAAACCAGATATCACAGCTACCTGGGACCAAAGGGACTCACACCAATAAAATGTATCCTCATAAACCAGATATAACAGCTACCTGGGACCAAAGGGACTCACACCAATAAAATGTATCCTCATAAACCAGATATCACAGCTACCTGGGACCAAAGGGACTCACACCAATATAATGTATCCTCATAAACCAGATATCACAGCTACCTGGGACCAAAGGGACTAACACCAATAAAATGTATCCTCATAAACCAGATATCACAGCTACCTGGGACCAAAGGGACTCACACCAATAAAATGTATCCTCATAAACCAGATATCACAGCTACCTGGGACCAAAGGGACTCACACCTATAAAATGTATCCTCATAAACCAGATATCACAGCTACCTGGTACCAAAGGGACTCACTAACAAAATGTATCCTCATAAACCAGATACCACAGCTACCTGGGACCAAAGGGACTCACACTTATAAAATGTATCCTCATAAACCATATATCACAGCTACCTGGGACCAAAGGGACTCACACCAATATAATGTATCCTCATAAACCAGATATCACAGCTACCTGGGACCAAAGGGATTCACACCAATAAAATTACTCAGTAGGGATCTTGTAGCAATTTACCATACACAACAGTAATTTAAAATACATGGCAGGTCTCATTTGAGTGTAGGCGTGATCAGGGATTGGCTGATTTTTTGTAAGCGTGACACATGAAAGTCAAATTATTTTGCTTGAAAATGGGAAACAAAGTCGTGCGGGACACCTGAAATTACAAGCGCTATTATTACAATGATAAAACTATAAGTGGGATCCGGGATCAGACCCCCCATTAGACCCCCTACATGTAAATGTTGCAGCAGATAATCCATCTGGTATTGACAAATTATCTATTGAATGAAGGTTATACAGTGAATCAATAAAAAATATTGGTTTTGTTTTGAAATTTAAATTCACAGTCTATACAAAAGCTCATGAAAATAATCACTTATAAATACAAAAAAAAATGATACACAAATGGAAGTTTTTAACGACCTTGACTGGATATACATCCCTCGCACGGTCGATAATAAAAAAAAAATGATGAAGGAAGGAAGTTGATAATATTTTGTTTTGTGATTTCAGGTGTTATAATAGGCCTAGTACTGGGTGGATTTATAGTTCTAGTTATAGTGTGTATGGGATTTATCCTGTTTAGAAGAAGGTAAATACATAGACTGGTGCTACATATGTAGGTATTAATGTGCCAGGCATAAAGATCACTAATGTGCAAGTGTTTTAAAAAATATATGTAGAAGAGCAATCAATTTCACATGTATATCATGCAAAATCACATATTTAGACATTAAGATATTTTCTGCTGTCATATGCAAGTAGCAAAATGATATTAGATCAATGATTTATGAAGTTTTGATTGTTTAAAGGTTTAATGCTCCAAAGAAATTACAATCCAAATAAGTTCAAAAGAAAGCTCACTGATGTATATACGGGTGTAGGCACAATCAGGAAATTTTTGCTGACAGGCTGGGAATCTGTCATGAGTAGCAAAAGCAATGTTTACAAAATAAAACATGAAGTATTATTTATATATCTACAAAAATAATGGCACCTAGAAACTATAAACATTTCTGCTTATTTAAATGAATGGATGTACTCTGAAGCTCTGAGGTCAAACAAAAACAGACTCATCAAGTTATGAATTCGAGACCAACTTCAAACCAAAAAACCTTTTAGTATATCTCCATAGTTGTGATAATAGCTTTCAAAATATTCTGAGAAACAGTGGTTTTATTCAATTAGAAAATTCTAATGAAGGAATAAGATCTTCCGCTTAACAGACATAGTCATTTACATTTTGTTATTTTTCAGGAGGAAAAGGAAGCGTGAATCAGATAACTTGGTCGTACAATTTGAGAATACAGACTACATGCAGGGGTACACACAGGGTTACTCACCAGTGTCACAGAATGAAGCAAATGGCCACGTACCAAATGGAACAAGACCAGAAAGTCACATATATATGGACACTAATGAAAGGAATAGATTGTATGAACAGATGACGAAAGAAGTTGACCATGGCGTCAATAATTATGATAAACTTAAACCTAAAGGAGCATGTGCTGAGGCCACACAAGGGTACACTGACGAATGTGAGGAAAGTGACATTAAAAAAGAAAGAGTTAATCTTCCTGAAGAATCAGATGGGTCTAAACTAAATAATGATAATGAATATATTGATATGGCGGCAAACAGGCCAAAACTTACAAACTTGGAGGCAAATACAAGACGTGTGGAAAAACAGAATAATTTACAACAAAGTCAGCCATTATACAGCAATGAGAACTTCCATAGAGAAAGATTACAGACTCCCACCGAAGATGAGTTGGAGATCCTTGATTATGAAGAGAGCACACCATTAGATAATGGGCAATTAAAAGTGCTTGATTACGAGGAGAGTACAACTAAAAATGTTGACCCATTATACGATACAATTCATTAAGGAAGACTTTTATAGCAGAGACATAAATATGGTCAATTTCTTAAAGTATTAAGGGGTGAAACTTGCCAAAAACTACACAGATGTAATAGATAACAGAATTCCCACCCAAAGAAATATGCATATTCATATATATCATAAAAGCTGATGTTATTTATGTTTAGATATTGGAGAAAAATGACATCATAGCAATGCGCTTCAAGTTCAGAATAAGATATTGAAAGAAAATTAGGATTTTCATTTCAGTCAAAATGTAGTTTATGAATATTACATTTAGTGCACACAAGCAAGACTTTTTCTGTGTAATTCCTTCAGAAAGGCGCTAAATATATAGGCCAAAAAAGGGATATCTGTGATGTGCTTGAAATCACTTTCTATCAATCATTGAGTTTTTTTCAGTGTACATTTTGTATTTAGAATACACAAGAATGTTAAGCATAGCTTTGTATTACAAACCATTTGATTTAAAATTTATGTATGCCAAATTTAAAAATACAGGTATAGAATGTAAAAATGTATCTGGAAGGCTTTTCTTGGACTTTTGTTTCATTCCTTGTCTTTGATATTACAGGTTGTCAAGTGAAACACAAATTATTTAAACAAGATTGATTATACAAGAAACATTACTGTATAATTCATGCACTAACTGGAAATCAGATCTGTGTGACCCTGATTGTTAGACATATTTTGTGACCCTGATTGTTAGACATATTTCCCCATTACTTACTAAATATCCAAAGTAACAAATATTCCTACGCATTTTATCTGATTGGAATGAAGATCTTTTGTGTGCATCTTTTTCTAACAAGGATTTGAAAGAATTTTAAAGGTATGTAATATTACAGTAGATTCCTATGAACATGAACAATACTTCCGAACAGAAAGTACAATGGAGCTTTGTCAGATGTCACATGATCTATATTTTGATCAGATTACGACACTGCATGTTGTTATATGTAGGTTGTCAACCTATTTTATTTTACACTTCATGTTGTGGTTTATACTGTTGTATTGTTATTTGTCAGTTGACCTCATGTTGTTTTGCATTTACAGTTAATAACTTTTAAAGTGGCATTCATAAATGCATTGTTTTTTAATTGTGTATGTTAGTTAATAAAATATCAAAGAAATTGTTGGTAAAATAACTTTTAAAGTGGCATTGATATAAGCATTTTTTTAATTGTGTATGTTGTTTATAAAAAAATCAAAGAAATTATCGGTAGAAAGTAATTATTATTTTCTGTTTAAATCAGTGCGGTTAAACTAAATTTGAATGCATGTTTCACTTCACTGATATATCACATAAAATCTGGTTAAACCCCATCAGGGGTCACATGCAAATTACCTCAAGTTAACAAATCAGTTTTATTTTCTTTAATATTGATGGTCCCTGTCTTTGGTCAGATTATGATCTATAAAAATTGTTTTACATTGTGTATGTATATATGTATATAGACTATAAATTCATTGTAGAAAAGTAAATACACATTCCTGTATACATTGTGTATAGTGCTAAAATGTGTATAATATGTAATGTAAATTTTGTCTTATCTGACATGTTTCCACAAAGTCTTTTCTTTATAAAAAAAATATGTGTTAGTATTAGATAGTTATGTAGCACTTTCAAAGTAAATATTATTACTGTAACTTCAGAATTTATTACATGCATTTATCATTGCGATTTTTGAAGAATGGACAAAAATGCTAGATTAGTTATTGTGATTTCTGAAAAATCTGCATGCAAATAGATATATGTCATGTATGTATCAGATATCAGAATGCCAAGTTGCATTATTCACATTAATAAAAACATTGCAATAATTTCTGAATTTACAGTTGTTGAACCTAAATAGTAATCTCATTTGCCATGAAGTTTGTGAATTAAAATGTTTTTTATTCACTAAATCAGCAAATTTATTTTAATCCAACTCTGTTTTAAGATATAAAGAAAATTTAAAGTGACCCAATAGCAATAATAATATAGCAACAAATCTTCTATCTTTAATAAACATTTATTGACTAATAAAACTATGACACATATTATTCTGTCAAAAGCACCTTGATAAATTTAATTATACTATTTTTGCTGCTCTCTGAATGAAGTTTTTGTCAAACTGATCTCCAAAATTTGTTTTGTTTTGAAGTAGAATATTTTAGCAATATTAATTATAAAAAAGTATGAAGATGATGTTTGTATAGATTTAGGTGTTTTGATTTTTGTAATATGGTAATACAGTTGTCCTATTTACAGATTGGAGTAAGTGTGTACACCAAGTAAGGACTATGACACATGTATAAAGCCTTCCATCAGTGTTAGTTTGTTTCTAGTTGTATTTATTGATTTTTTTTTTTAACTTTGTGCAATATTTTATATAGTTGTATAGAAGATTTTTAATGTTGATTAAACTAAACTTTATTTTTGAAGCAATTGTCCAGTATCATAAATAAAATTAGCTTGTTTACCCCTCTTAATTAAACACTGCTTAAAAAAATAAGCTTTTTAACCCCTTTTAATTAAACACTGCTGAAAAAACAAGTTAAAAAAAGTATTGAGTTAGAAGTTTTTATCATAAAATGTACAAGAAAAAAATGATATCAAAGGGCAGATAATTCCAATATTATCTATTTCTTTTTTCGCAACTATTTCTGATATATACACACAACAATGTCATTCTTGTATATATCATTTTAGATGTTCCCATGTCATTGTGTATTAATCAGATCATTTATTCATTTGATTATTGTTTTAAAAACAATCAATTTATATGTGTGTGTGCATGTGAAGATATTGTTAAAACAAAATTAGAATGGGATGTACTACATAAAATGTAGCATTAAGGTAAGCCTTAAATATTACAGTAATAGTACTTTAAAGTAAGTTGATTGTAGTTAGTACTGAATTTTGATGTCAGAGATAAGTTTTCAAGCAATTGAATTGTTTAATTTTATGCATTGACATTTGTGTTCAGAATTAGATTTCCCTGGAAATGCAGGCACAGATTACCCTTGTTCATGTGATTAATGTATTTCTATTAAAATGATTTTTTGTCGAGCCTTCGACTTTAGTCGAAAAAGCGAGACATAGCGATCCTACATTCCGTCGGCGTCGTCGGCGGTGGCGGCGGCGGCGGCGTCCACAAATATTCACTCTGTGGTTAAAGTTTTTGAAATTTTAATAACTTTCTTAAACTATCCTGGATTTCTACCAAACTTGGACAGAAGCTTGTTTATGATCATGAGATAGTATCCAGAAGTAAATTTTGTAAAAATAAAATTCCATTTTTTCCGTATTTTACTTATAAATGGACTTAGTTTTTCTGCCGGGAAATATTACATTCACTCTGTGGTTAAAGTTTTTAAAATTTTAATAACTTTCTTAAACTGTCCTAAGTTTGTACCAGACTTGGAGAGAAGCTTGTTTATGATCATAAGATAGTATCCAGAAGTAAATTTTGTAAAAAAATAAATCTATTTTTGCTTTATTATACTTTTAAATGGACTTAGATTTTCTGCCAGGAAACAACACATTCACTCTGTGGTTAAAGTTTTAAAAATTTTAATAACTTTCTTATACTATTTTGGATTTGTACCAAACTTGGACAGAAGCTTGTTTATGATCAAAAGCTAGTATCTAGAAGGAAATTTTGTAAAAAAATAAATCCATTTTTTCCGTATTTTACTTTTAAATGGACTTAGATTTTCTGCCAGGAAACAACACATTAACTCTGTGGTTTAATTTTTTAAAATTTTAATAACTTTCTTCTACTATTTTGGATTTGTATCAAACTTGGACAGAAGCTTGTTTATGATCAAATGCTAGTATCTAGAAGGAAATTTTGTTTTCTTCCAGTTAACATTCCATTCAGCATGTTCAGTCTGCAGTTAAAGTTTTTAAACATTTATTAGATTCATAAACTATCCTGGATTTTTACCAAACTTGGACAGAAGCTTCTTACAATCAAAAGATAGTATCAAAAGGAATATTTTTTTATTGATTTACTTCCTCATTTTTGTTGAGCCTGTGATTAACAGAAAAAGTAGGCGAGACACTGGGTTCCGTGGAACCCTTACGAATTTTTTTTTTTAGAAAACACTTTAAAATAGAGTCTATGTTGGGTTGTATACACGAAAAATCCACCTGTATATATAAACTTATCTGTATATTTCAAATGAATAACCACCACTGAGAACGTTTCTCTAAAATCTACTTTTATTAAACAAACAAAAATTATGTGCCAAAATCCTTTCAAATAATACCTTTTAATAAAACCTTGTTTTTCAATACCATAGTTTAATTTACCACAAGAATGTATGGGAAAATCCTGTAATTGATATATTAGGAAAATACAGTATTTATATTTGTTATAATATCATCAAATATTAGTAACAAATATTGGTCTTTAGTGATAAGTTAAAACTCTTACAATGCAAGATCAAGATGTCCCCTAGTATCAGTTTCATCTGAAATCTTAGGTATCATGTCCTTGAAAAAGGAATGTAAAATGTTAATTGTTTTAAGTAAATCGATTAAACTAAGCTTCTTAAATGGAATCCCAATATCAAGATTACAACTTACTTTTGATGTGTTAATTTGATTTGATTCTTATAAAATAAAAGGTAAAACTAGTCACATTTAATTATTGAAGCACATATAATGTATTGTACTTTTTCATACATAAAGTTATACTTTTAAAGATCCAATATGCGAATTTGTGAAGGGTTCCTCACATAAGTAGCCTAGTAGATAGGATTATATTGTGGCCTGAAATAGTACTTTAATGTGGCCTTTGAGTGTAACAGGAGGCATTACTATTGTAGACCTCGTGATAGCAAGTCTAGTCAAACAATAACACCTGTACCCTGCAAGGATTGGGGGTGATCCCTGGGGGTATGTAGTGATCCCATTTATTTAAATCATTGATTTGACTTTTAATAAGTCAAGATTCTATTCATTGAGTTACTATATGTATTGATTATTAAAAAGAGTTTTAATTATATTTTAAAATTTAATCAGTTGTATAATTCTTTTACAATCTCTTGTGGTTTTATTAATTTTACAATAAATATATTATGCATTTTTGTGAGTGTTTTAAATAATTCCAGTTGCGAGGTTTGTTTGAATCGATGGATTATTGAAGTTAAAAGCCACATTCTACACAATAGCAGGAATTATTTTACGATTTTTGTTCTCCGTGCAAAGCAGAGTGAAGGAATAGAAATTCTGATGCCTGTCAGTCCAACACTATAAGCCCTCTGCAGTTCTCATCAGATTTTAATGCAATTTATGTCACAGGTTTACACAGTAATATCTTGGAAGGAGTTCACAACTTGTTTAAATCGATGGATGATTGAAGTTAAAAGCCACATTCTACACAATAGCAGGAATTATTTTACAATTTTTGTTCTCCGTGCAAAGCAGAGTGAAGGAATAGAAATTCTGATGTCTGTCAGTCTGACACTATAAGCCCTCTGCAGTTCTAATCAGATTTTAATGCAATTTATGTCACAGGTTTACACAGCAATATCTTAGGAGTTCACAACTCGGTATTGGTTAAATATTTTTGGGGAAATTATATTGAAAATCAACATGGCAACAGAGTTCTCATCTGAGTTTGATGAAATTTGTGTAGATTACATAAGCTAATGCTGGGTCAAATTTGAAAATTGTCAGACAGAATAATTGGGGAAGTTATGCCCCCTGGAAATAAAAAAAAACCTATTATTTTGACAAAAATAATAGGTTTGAAGAGCTTTTTACGGATATACCTTCATGTCAGGGATGTGGCCTGTGGTTGTCACTGTGTTTTGTTGTGTTTGGTGTGGATTTTAGATCTTTTGATACCTCTTGTGGAATTCATTCTCAACTTTTCTATACCATGGGGTGGTCAAGGCTAAATATGCAAAGCAGGATTACATAATTTTAGAACAAGAACTGATGAAGTGTTAATAATATTTAGTAAAAAAGTTTCAGCATACAATGCCATGTCCATTCAGTTAGTGATCATACTGTTACATAATGATTTACTTCTCTTATCCCTTTGATGTTCAGTTGGCAGATTTAGTTTTGCAATGTTCAATTGTAAAATTTTCTGATTTTGCCTATAAGGAAGTACTAATATTTTGAAATTGGCATGCTATTAGATGTGTGTACAGGTCTCAACCAACCATTAGTAAGAGGTCTATGGACAATATCAAACTTGTCAATACTAGCAAGTGGTTCCAGTAAATATAGTCAGGAACAAAGAGATATAACAATAAGGTTTGAATAAATAAGATTCTGTTGACAGCAGTTTTTGTCTCGCCTTGACAGAGTCAAAAAGCGAGACATAGGTATGCTGTTTCCGGCGTCGGCGGCGGCAGCGCCGTCAACAATGTATTAGTTTGTGATTAGGTCTAGTTCATGGTGAACCACTAGTGGTAGGTCAATGATATTTGGTATGCAGTTGTTTTAGCATTGGCACATTTCATTACCATGGAGATTATTTGGCCCCGCCGCATCAGTCAAGGTCTATTGACTTTGAAACTTTTCATAGTTTACATGTATTAGTTTGTGATTAGGTCAATACAGTACTTTATATTGCCTTAAACATAACTGTTAAAAGTCTAACTCTGGAATAAAAAACCAGAAAGTTTCAAATTATAAGCAATATAAAAATAAGGAGATGAGGTATGATTGCCAATGAGACAACTATCCACCAAAGTTCAAATAAAGTGGATGTAAGATAACCTAAACTTGAATTTAAAGAAATAAAATTTTTTTTTTAATAAAAACTAATAGTAGACAGCTCTCTCACAAGCAAAAAACCTGTAACTGTAAAATATAAGGGCATACACTACAAGCACAGGGACACATTCTACAGCATCCACACAGCACGAGCAACAAACCCTGCAATCAATATAAAAATTAGGAGATAAGCCTGCATTCATTATTCCCAACAAGTCTAAAGTTTGTCGTAAATTTGATCCAAATATACTAAAGTTAGTGCACAACATGTAAAATAAATGGGGAATGTGTCCATGGGACACAGATGATGACCCCTCTTGCATATCATATAACATTATAAAGGGACATAACTGAAGAACAGTAAAAGTGACGCCACCAAAATTCAAACTTGATCTGTATTTTGTGGTCATAAGCATTGTGTATAATTTTCATAACATTTGGTTGAGGCTAACTTAAGTTAGAGAACGGAAACGAAAAATTCAGCAATTTTCCATTTGTAAAGGGGCATAACTGAAGAACGGTTAAAGTGACGCCACCAAAATTCAAAATTGATCTGTGTTTTGTGGAATAAGCATTGTGTATAAGTTTCATAACATTTGGTTGAAGCAAACTAAAGTTAGAGCACGGAAACCAACTTTGGGATGTACAGACGGACGTACAGACGGACAAGGGTAAAACTTAATGCCACCTCCGCTACGGCAGGGGGATATAAATGCCTTAAATATAATAATGAAAGTCTGGAAGGATAAATCAAAAAGTTTTAAAGGTATCTTACTTACTTCATCAATTCCAACATTTGTATAAAGTTTCCAGTAAATCAAATCAAACTTACTTATAAAAATTATGATACAACAGGTGAAAAATTTCCTTAAAACTGCCAATTAAAGTCCCTTAACTCTGGAATAACAAAGCAGATTTTCAAAATCCAAAGGAAACTTCCTTATATCAAATCTCAACAACAGTGTGATGTTTAGGAAATCAATCCATGCATACAGGAGTTTGTGTGTAATATGTGAAAAAAGTTCAATTTTTCATGAATATAGACCTTTAACTTGTGAATGTCAAAATCAAGGCAGCTTTCTTCAACCCAAATGTAGTGTTAAAATTTCATGAGAATTGGTTACATCAAATTTGATTAATCGAACAAAGTGTTGGCATATGGGCAAATGGATGGATGTACAGACAGATGGACTACACTATACATAATATATTTAAAATAAAATGGGCTTATAGAACAAGAGCCTGAATCGCTCACCTGGCATATTTTTATATTTATACCTAGGGAAGGGGGACTTAAGTGTTACCCTTAACCGTCCATTCTTCTTACTGCCTCAGTCAGATTTGCTCTTACTGCTTTAGTTTTGGAGATACAAGTCAAAAACCATATTTTACCCTTATGTTCTATTTTTAGCAACAGCTGCCATGTTTGTTGATGGATCAATTTTTGTGGAAACAATTTTTTTTAAACTACATACATAAGGAACATTAAGATACAGTTGAGTTACATTTGGCCCAGTATTTTCAAGGAGGAAGATTTTTTTCAAGGTTTACGAGAATGGGACTCAACGACAGAGGCAAAGTGATGGCAAAAGCTCACATGGTCTTTAAGGCCAGTTGAGCTAAAAAGGAATAAAACACTAACATTTGTGTAAATATAATGTAGATTTAATTCATGATTACACAACAAATGGAATATATCAACTAGCCGACTTTCTATGTCTATAAATATGTATCAGTTTTATATAGTTCTGAAATAAGGAAATAGTGTACTAGTACACCAATCTCCAAAGTAAAAAGATAACATTTGGGTAAAACATGAACACGAATACTTATCATAAATAAAATTTCTTCCAAATAAAATGTAAAGTGAATGTTGAGCTCAGACAAATGTTCAAACTGAGATTGATAGGCAGGAAGGCTCTCTTTCACAAAAAAAAATAATACCATGACACTATGTTTGTGTTGCTATGAACATAAACTATCAATTTCATGGTCAACCAGAACAATACTGATATGCTGCTTTCCACTGATTTGTATTGGCTAAACCATCACTTTTAAAACAATCATAAATACAATATGTTTTACTATACACTAACTTTAACATAAATACATGTATAAATATAAACCATATAAACCATTCAGAGTATGTGATTGTAAAAGTTGTAGAAATTGGTCGTCATTAGGCATAGATAGATAAATTTGTAGGAATTGTGAATGTTTTCAATTATTAATTCTTTAAACCTGTGTGTATTTAAATACTTATACATATTTTAAAGGAAGTTAATTCATTGATTTTTTTGTTTACAAAGCATGCACACCATAATCATCAAGCAAAAGCCAACTCTAACTCAACTTAATATCATGTCATGTCATGCATTCAAAACTTATCAATATTTTCATACAAACACTTATTATCAACAGTTGGATTATACTGGGGTTAAGATTAGCCAGAATTTGATCTTTATAACTAAAATTAAAATTTTGTAAGAAAAATAAGTCAAGATTTACAGAGTCATGTCACAATTATTGTGTTTGTCAGCAGTTATTTGTTCAATAGCTTTTTAAATATATATTTGAGTATTATTAATTTTTATATAATTCTCTAGTCAGAATCTCTCAAATATACTGTTTCATGAATGTTAACATTTTTGTTTATATAAATTTATTTGTTTGTCTGTTTGTTTTAATTTAACACATTGGGAATCATACCAAATCTCCTTATTTCTAAATTAAAGCATTTCTCAGTAAATCAGGGATGGCACAAATGCTGAGATGAATGCAAAATTATATTTTCGGTGGAGCTTAGGTAATAACTGATGTAAATATCAAACTGACACATTTTTGTATGAGGTTAACAAATTGAAAATTGCAGTCAAAGGACATATTCAAAGTTGGAATGGATGGATAATATTTGACACCAGAATTCATTGCATTATTTCTTATTCTAACTAGAAATCAAATTTGATTAAAATTTGATTAAAATTTGAGCATTTCGATGAAATGTTTACATATTTTGGCGCTCTTATGAAAATGGAATAAGTTTTGGGATCAGGATTCAGGCACGTTCTACTTAGTTCAAACATTTCTTTAAAATCCTACCCTTTCTTGCAAAGTATTGAATTTTGGTGGCAATTTCGAAAAATGTCAGTCGATGGATTAATTTTGACACTAGAAATCAATTTGGAATACCAAATTATATCCATCTGTCAATTTTTGTTGAAATTCTAGGGCAAAAATATGTTTCTCATAAGTTGCGATTTTTAACAAAAAACTAAAATTTTACTGGAAGAAAGGTTAAAAACTTAAACCTGCACTAGTTGTAACTGTAGAGTCAACTCACAAAATGACTTGTTAAAGGCTGTATCTCTACCTCTGTGTTTAGATGAAATGTTGTAAAAAAAATTACTAACTTTATTGTAAAATCATAGAAATTGAAAGAAAAATACCTTTTTTGATAAATGACATGATATATCTTTGACCACATAGAAACTGACATAAAGTACATTCTACTGACTAAAGATAAAAAAAAAAGATGACTTATAATACTATTTTCTCATCATAAACAAGTTTCTCTTTAATACTTTAAGAAATTATCTCCCTTTTCAATAAAGTTGTTTGTGTCTCAGACAGAAATTTTACATTTTAAGAAATTATCTCCCTTTTCAATAAAAGTTGTTTGTGTTTCACACACAGAAATTATACAGAGTTGTTATAACAGATACTGTGTTTTGTGTAAAATAAATTTGTATGAAGACAATGGATATGTGTACATCACAAGTCAATATTCATCACGAGGAAGCTGCAGCAATAGTTTGTACAGATCTATCTTTATTTAAAAGTTTGGACGGTTCAAGGTCAAACTGAAAGTCATTGCTAGAAGACACCATTATGTTCATACTAACATATAGTGGAAACTTGAACTTCTTGTCTAACAGCATAACTACATGTTCCTGCAATACAAATACAAAAAATATGTATGTAACATATTGAGAAAATGTAATTTTTCAGCCTTAAATGTAAATACAATTCTTATTTACCCTAATTTACAAATTAATCAGTCATGGTAAATTCATAAAAAGTTCTTTTTTTCATCTTCATTTATTTCTATAAAGAATGAAATTTTCAATAGTTTAAATCAAATTGTGAATATAGTGAAAGCCGATCATCTCAAGCGATGCTACACTAATAGAAAGGCCTCGCATGAATTTGAACTGACAATTACTTCCCTAATGAGTCCTGACATGTACCTGCACTGATAATAAATTATTTAATCAGTCCTGGCAAGAAGCTAAGCTAAAAATCTATTTCTCAATCAGTCCTGACATGAAACTAAACTGAAGTAAAATCACTTCCTCAATCAGTCCTGACATGAACTTGAACTGACAATTACTTGCAAAATCAGTCTTGACATGAACCTAAAGTGACAATCACATCCTCAATCAGTCTTGACATGAACCTAAAGTGACAATAACATCCTCAATCAGTCTTGACATGAACCTAAAGTGACAATCACTTCCTCAATCAGTCTTGACATGAACCTTAAGTGACAATCACTTCCTCAATCAGTCTTGACATGAACCTAAAGTGACAATCACGTCCAAATGAAAACAATTGAAAGCCATGAATGTACTTATATGCAGAATTGTTAGTAGCTATATGACCAAAAGTTACATAAAAAAAGCCAAATTCATCTAAGGTCAACTGGATTTTCTTATCTTTATATTAAACTACAATAAACACAGAGTTAATATCAACAGAATATTCTACAATGTAAGCAATGTAAACAGAATTACCGTATCTTGTAGTAGATTTATTCTTGTTAGGACTGTTGATTATGTAAGCAATGTAAACAGAATTACCGTATCTTGTAGTAGATTTATTCTTGTTAGGACTGTAGATTATGTAAGCAATGTAAACAGAATTACCGTATCTTGTAGTAGATTAATTCTTGTTAGGACTGTAATGTAAGCAATGTAAACAGAATTACCGTATCTTGTAGTAGATTTATTCTTGTTAGGACTGTAGATTATGTAAGCAATGTAAACAGAATTACCGTATCTTGTAGTAGATTAATTCTTGTTAGGACTGTTGATTATGTAAGCAATGTAAACAGAATTACCGTATCTTGTAGTAGATTTATTCTTGTTAGGACTGTAGATTATGTAAGCAATGTAAACAGAATTACCGTATCTTGTAGTAGATTTATTCCTGTTAGGACTGTTGATTATGTAAGCAATGTAAACAGAATTACCATATCTTGTAGTAGATTAATTCTTGTTAGGACTGTTGATTATGTAATCAATGTAAACAGAATTACCGTATCTTGTAGTAGATTTATTCTTGTTAGGACTGTAGATTATGTAAGCAATGTAAACAGAATTACCATATCTTGTAGTAGATTAATTCTTGTTAGGACTGTTGATTATGTAAGCAATGTAAACAGAATTACCATATCTTGTAGTAGATTAATTCTTGTTAGGACTGTAGATTATGTAAGCAATGTAAACAGAATTACCGTATCTTGTAGTAGATTAATTCTTGTTATTACTGTAGATTTCTCTGTTGTTCTTCTTCCTTTATCATCTACTGAGGCAACTTTTATTCTAAAAATAAATGTAAAATTAAGTCAACTTCAGAACCGGAAAGATTTGTTAGAAGTTTATAAAAATGTTCAATTTGATCCTCAAAAGAAATATACATACATAGTCAGAAAGTAGACATATATCTATTGTTTAAACACATATGCTGAGCTAGACACCTTATTAAATGTTGTTGGGCTTATCGATGTAAACCCCACATCTATTATTCATACTACTTGTAAAATGTGTATTCAACATTAACCAATAATAAAATTAACACAGAAATAAACAATCTTTCTGTATTCTGCACATAACAAACAGTCTGAGTATAAGCAGCAACATTTATCTGATCTACTTTAATATGGACTGTTTTGGCTTAATCTCAAATGATGGCAAATATTCTATGCATATTTAGCATGGCCTAGTTTGCTGATTTGTTTACACTTGTGTATATATTCAATATTTTACTGTCTTATACATTTGTCAATCTGTGAATCAGATATATTCTAGATAACAAATATTGTCCTTTCTATTTCTGAGTCTACTATGCAAGATAGGCTACTCAAATGTGTTGAAGTATAGATTTGGTTAGAGAACGTAAATCTCACTCAAACATGAGACTGGAAACGTGGACAAGATTTAACTATTGAACATCAGATTCCACTATTCAAATTATGTTAAAAATTCTGTGAATCAATTATATATAATCTATACTGTAACATGATATGGTTACCAGTTCAGGTTTTCTGATATTGATAAGGTCAGTACACGGAACAAGCTCATGCAAAAGCTTCATAATGTGTCATATTCTGTGGATTCAATTATATTCCTGGGTACTAATTTTCGTGAATTAAGGAAAATTTGTACTTTTGTGGATATTTGATTTCATGGTTTTGCCAAAGTCTGCATATAAGCAGGTAGAAAATGTGAACTTTGGTGAACATTTAAATTCGTGGTTCAACTGTACCCAAAAAATCCACGAAAATTGGTATCCCATGAATAATAATAAATCGACTGTACATAAAATGAAAATCTCAATTAAACCGATTGTATGTATGTGCTGTGTGATTTTCTTGATCGAAACAGTACTTTTCTTTGTTTTACAAGACAACTGAATAAACTTGATATGTTCCTATGAGAAGTTTTTCTTTGATGATAAGACCAGTTCAAAGATAACCAAGATAAAACATAAGAAGTCACAAAGCTATGATATGGGACTTAACATTGAGGCATAAGCTGTATTATAATAGGCTATCAATAACTCACCTATAGGCTATACTGCGATACGGATGTAGACTGACTGCACCAGGACAGAGTTGACTATGTGTATTACGTTTAATTGAGATCAGACTATTTGAGTACGATACTAACAGATCTATGCCATAACTGTAACCAACCCATCTCCAACAGTACTAAATGAAAAAATACATTATGAATACAAATTGTAGAGGTGGTATGATTACCAAAGTAACCAAACATATGAAAAGTCAAATTACTGATTACAAGATATCTTTATGTCTAACAGTTCCATCTTACATCATGTTTAATATGATTTTAAGAAGTCATTTGACGAAAGAGTGTCTGCTACAATTAATAATTCTTTTAAGACATATTTAATGCATGTCATCACAAAATCTTCCCTGGTTGGAAAAAGAATAAACGTTTGACAAGGACATAATAAAATGCTTCACTAAGCGCAGCAGGATATGACTGCAGAGGTCCAACCCTGAACAATTGGGGCAAAAATGGACACAATATTCGCGCTTGATACAGGTCTGAATTTGGATTGTAATTAAATATTTGACACATAATAGGTTTCTGACACAGAATAACTGTAGTCAAAGAACTTAAAATTGGTTATATGATTTGAATTTATATTCAATGTTTTGCTTTTGTGCAATACACTATGCTGTTGAATATTAACCCCCCCCCCCCCAAAAAAAAATATTTGAAGAAATTTTCTTTTTAATTTCTAAAATCTGAAATGAGAAAAATTGTAGCCCCCCACAAATTCTTATTTACCCCCCCCCCCCAATTTTTTTTCAACTCCCCCTTTCCCTTATTCCAAAAATAATCTCAATTCAAATTTCTAATAGAGTTTGCAACCATAACTACTCATTTAAATACATCATGAAATATTAAAATATAAAATGACATACAGTCATGGTTAAGGTAGATGGGGTGTCTAAATTACAATCCATAGAATTTTTTAATAATTTGCCAAAATGTAGTTTATATCATGCTTTTTTAAAAAAAATAATAAAAAGAATGGGTCACGGGGCTTATTTTCACGCTACAGGTTGTGCAAAATTGACAGATTTTGTATAGATTATGCATGGAAAACCCAATTTTCTGCCATAAAACGAAAACTACACCATAGAATTTTGAGATAAAATATGAGAAGATAGCTCAAATATTATGCTTTCAGATAAGAAAAAGAAAAAATGGGGTCACCGGACCCGTTTTCTTGCTACATAATAAAATAGGTAAATTCCTAACACATTCTATTGTAAAAATAACTTTATCTGAATTATCTCCCCTTATGTGGCAAAGTTTGAAAAAATTGAATTAAACAAAAGTTTTCTGTTTTTTGTAAAATACAACCATAAAAATGATAAAGCATGTCATTTTCTATATTGAAATGAAAATTCTTACACATGAATTACCTACTACTCTCAAAATTTGCACATTTTCTTAATGATCTAGACCGATTGTTTTATGGTATTTCAAAATCCAAGATGGAGGAAGACACCCTATCTACCTTAAGATTAATATTAATTAATAGTAACTTCTAAAATAAATTTACAGCTAATCATCTCAAGACAATCATTATTTCTTAATACATAATTTACAAGCAGTGTAAGGGAGGTAATCAAACATATATACAACAGTATTCTTTAAATGGATTGGATTACCTCCCTTACACTGCTTTTAAATTGTCTAAATTGTCCTTTAACCATAAAAACCCTTGTTTTCCCCCCTTTTTTGCCCCTAATTGCTAAATGGTTTTGAGCCATAACCCCCCTAACCATCCCTTTGTTGTATGGAAACTTGTGGTATAATTTCAGAGAGATTCATACACTTAAACACAAGTTATTGTCTGGAAACTGCAAAAATGCTTATTTGGGCCCCTTTTTTGGCCCCTAATTCCTACACCTTTGGGACCATAACCCCAAAAATCAATCCCAACCTTCCTTTTGTGGTTATAAACCTTGTGTTCAAATTTCGTAGATTTCTATTCACTTATACTAAAGTTATTATCCGGAAACCATCTGTCTTTGGACGACGCTGACGACGACGACAACGACAACGTGATACCAATATACGACCAAAAATTTTTTAATTTTTGCGGTCATATAAAAAAACCAACCTCACAACTAGTCTAAATATTATACAATATTTTCTTTGCTTGCCTTAACTCAACTCCTTATATCCTTAGAGCTGTAAATACTACAATATATCTTTTGATGATTCCAGAAAGCAGTTTTTATAAAGATTTCATGCAAAGAGAAAATGTGCATCAAAATAAATGATGTACTGATATTTATAATCTAGAAATGGTTTTATTAGTTGAATGAATAATATACCAGTGGAGAGTTGTCTCATTGGCAATCATACCATATCTTCTTATTTTTATATAAAACCATCTAACACAACTGAACTGTAATGAATGTCAAGATTTGAGAAGATCAAAACTTTCATAAAATACTGACACAAAGGGGATTCAAAGTTTGATTAGTCACAAGTCCCAATATGTTCATATTGTATACTGGTATTCAAGATCAAATAAAAACATTGTCTTACATCTCCTTCTACAGGTAGAGCCCTTCCACATCTAAAACAATTCTTATAAAATATATCTTCTTCTGGCACGTCATCTGGTCTGAAATTAGGTCAAAATGGCAAAATCATAATATCTCATATCAACAGTACTTTATCTAAGTTCAAATCTCATAAATCCATCAAGAAAATACAATCCAAGTAAAACAAATCTGACAGAATCGAATGAAGCAGTTTTTCTGTCAGGAGTACACCCCTGTTGTACACTGTAGGGCCAATAACAATTCAATTTGAACCATTTTGTTGGAATACTAGAAGGGTTCTCTTTTGACCCCTAAAATACTGAAATTGATCTAGCTGAACTTTCTGTTTCTGTCCATTTATTACAATTACTGTAAACCAACTTATTTTAGCGATTTTCGTGAGTAGAAAAATACTGCTAATATAAATTGTCGTGAATATGTTAAACTTAGATCTTCTGTTATATAAATACATAAAAAATAGAAAATCAGGAAAATAAATCACCACTTAGTAGGCTAGAATGGGCTAAAAGTGAAATAAAGTGGGTTTACAGTATATGAGTTTGACTAAACTCCTAAATTTGAAATTTGCCATAAAATCCAGATTTTTTTTTATACATATATCTCATAATTAAACACATTCCACAACTTAACATATCAAAAGTTAATACAATAGGTTTAAATATATAACAACAGAAACAACACTTTTCTAAATTGTCAAAGGTATCATTGAAAAAGTTCATATTATTTTTTTTTTTTTTTCCATTTTGTACATTTGTGACTAAAAACAAAGCAAAATAAAATATAATGATTACACAGAAAACAACTTCTTAACATAACTCAAGATTTCTTATTAGCAGACATCTGTATTTTATGCTTGACCTACATAATACATAGGTATAAGGAATGAGTTCAACTATCTTCACATCTTTATCTCATACAATGAAGCAAAGACTGATTACAGATGACAGAAAATTATTCTAACTTTACATAAATGTTGAATTAAACCAAATTTACCCTTCATCACGACCTTGTTCTATAGTTAACATTTTCTTCCATTGTTGTTCAAAAAATGGTTGTATCCAGGCTGTAAAAGAAATACTTATACAATGTTATATAAGCATCAGATGAAATGTCATTACTGTGGATTCATTTATTTTTGTTGGTACCAATTTTCATGGATTTTGCCAGATTTTGTATACAAGCCTATAGAAAAGTATACTTCATTGAACATTTAAAAATGTGGTTTACCTATACCAACAAAATCCTTGAAAATTGGTATCCCATAAATAATTATGAATCCACAGTATTCAAAGATAATTATATCTATACTAAACTCAGCGTTCTAATAATTAACAGAATGCTAAAGAAAAAAGAACAATAATCAGGTATGCAGACTGTTCCATGTCGCAGATTCATGTTGCAAATTACATTAAATTATTGTTTCATATATTGAGTCCTAAGTAAGTGGTCCTTTGCATTCTCACTGGCTGAAAAGTTGAGGCTATAGTAACTCTAGCTAGCATTCATGATGTGTGTACATGTGAATATAAATATCATTGGGGAAAAATTGTAAAGCAGCAACAAAAATATATTTTCTACACAACCCCCCCCCACCCCCCGAGATCTAAAGATACTGTCTCTAGTGTCCTTACTATGTGATAAGCTCTAAATTCTTCATAAAGTGGGTCTATGTAGAGCAATAAGAAGTAACTGGAACATAGGTCAATTCTAGCATTCTGCCAAAATAACCTGCTACAAAGCAATGTATCCTTACATACAAACATATTATTTTATTACATTAACAATAACTTTTCATTGTTTCTTTGCCTAAATTGCACATTTTTCATATATACAACCTTTACTTCCCCCTGTGAAATTGTTTACCAAAAAAAAAAAAAAAAAAATATGGTTTAAGATATACCATTTTTAAAACCATAATACAGCTGATAAAAATATCCAAATCATACAAACATTATACTGACCCAGGATCCAATGACTTTATACAGTGAAACAATATGCAAACTGTTTCATGTCCAATCAGTACAATTTACATTCAGTTCATACAACCATTAAACTTACCAAGATGGAAGACCTTGTCATCTTCTACAAGTTTGAGAGAAGCCAGATCATTGATAACATGCTGCCATCTTATTTTACAAAACACAGGTAAATATGACTTTCCTTTCTCTGTTTTCAGAAAACATTCTGAAGGATTTTCTGCAAATACAAATGAAATGTGAAAAAGACGATGAAGTGTAACAGTCTATTTTGTCTGGAAACATCTTAAAAGAATATCTCAAAACACAAATTACATTAAAATAAAAAATGTCCCTTCCCTGTTTTCTGGAAGAACACAGCTACAAATTAAATCCCTATTGATGCTGTGAGCCAGCCAAGCTAACCTTTTTCTCCAAAAGCAGCATATCAATACATGTAATTTGTGTTTTTTACATTAAATCATTTCTTTACAAATCTTGTATTCAAAGCAGTTGTTTGCAGCTCTTGTTTAAAGTATTGCATAGGATAAAATAATTAGTGTTGTAGCTCTTATTCTAGCAGTATTGTATTATATAAATAAAGCATAATTAACAATTAAGTAATATGGTAAATTTCATTGTTTATAATTCAAATGAGTTTGAATGGTCTCTCTAAAAGGGAGCCAAAAATATTTTGTAGCCAGTCTGACATTTCTTTCAATCCCGTTTTAAAATCTTTTTTTTTTCTACTGCATAAAGGCATAAACTGCTATTAACAGCAATCTAGACTCAAGCTAAATGATTTTGTTCTAAAGTGAATCATATTTTTTGTTTGGACACAATATCTTTTAACCGAAAACACAAGGATTGAAATGTAGAACATAAATCATAAGAAGTTGAAGTAATTTTTCTAATTATTTCAATAAAAAATTACCAGTGTGTTACTATATTCATTTAGGTTAACCTCTTCAACAGTATTTCAGACTTAAACAGGAAACATTCTTGACTGCTTCATTCGCTATGTACAAAATAATCATAATACTCAGATCAATGATGAATTGGTAAATAGAAAGTTCTGTTTAAAGTTACCACACACCTTTATGCAGCTGTTTAAAATAGTCAGCAGCATCTATGGTCAGATTCTTTGCAGTACTATCCCAGCAAGGATTTTCTTGTAAAAATACCCACTGTAAAAATAAACCTAGCCAATTTAGTTTATCATTGTTGATTCAAGCCATTAGCTGTAGGGTGGCGCTTCACAGATGCAGATCCAGTAATTGAAAAAGGGGGCCTACCAACAAGGCAACATAAGAGTGGGATTTGTAAAAGGTCTATACATTAACCATAAATGTAGCTCCATAAGGAGGCATGTAATAATGATTCTAAGGTTTGCCTAATCTTGTTAACAGTAATAGACCTACCTTAGGATTTTAATAAATTATTCTGAATAGAAAACAACCTTCATCTTTAAAGGGGCATTAGCTACGATATATAAAAAAAATAAAATTATGATTTTTTTTTGTTTAATCATTAATGAAAGTGAAATAGTGAAATAATAATTAGCTTTTAGCAGCCAATTTGGTTAAATTTTGTCAAAATAAGCTAAGAAACATCGCTGATGAATTATTCACTTGCAAGTGAATAATTCTTCCTCAATGAATCTGTATTCATGTGACATTTGATTTAACCCCTTAGCTGGACATAGTTACGCATGTATTCAGTTATTAAAAGAAAAAGAATGTCAACATTGAAAGTGAAACAAGGATGAACCATTTAGTTGATTCGATCCACAAAAAATCATACTTATACAGGTAAAAACGATGATAAACATACTTTTAAACCTACAATATGAAATCAAACAGACCTAGAAAAATCCAATTACACATGGTCGCTATCTATTTATATTTATATTAATGTTTATATCGGGTTATACGACCTTTAGCAGTCTTCATAGGTCATCTAGATGATTAATTAGATGACATCTAGACAAAAATACACACCAAATGTTAATACATATTATCGAGTCCATGCATTGTAAATTGTTTATTCTAGACTTTTTGTAATTTGGATATACATTTTAGTATGTTATAAATCAACTATGAGAATTTGAGTCAAATTCGTGAACATGAATTTGACAGCAAATGCCCCTTTAAAGCATGAAATGAAGGTCAACATTAAAAACTGGAAGACGAAGTGAAGTTTTCTTTTATGAAGTTCAATAGTAGAACTATAGCCATTTACCAAAAATGAATCCCTGCAAAGTTTTTGATAAAAAGATATTAAATAGTTAAGACTCTCTTTTTCATAGAAAAGATGTAAAACTACACTTTCAATGGAAAATTTCATCAGTCTGTAAAAATAATAATGATTTTTTTATATCTATAGAATTTACCTTTTTGAGCTGAGAATAGACATCAACTTCTACTTGCATCACATATAAATCTGGAGAAACGACCAACTTCATCATTAAATCTACACTGTAATGTAAAACAAATGTTAAAATAAGTCGTACAAGCTAAGTATAAACATCAAGATCTATCTACATCACATATAAATCTGGAGAAACTACCAACTTTGTCATTAAATCTACACTGTAATGTAAAACAAATGTTAAAATAAGTCGTACAAGCTAAGTATAAACATCAAGATCTATCTACATCACATATAAATCTGGAGAAACTACCAACTTTGTCATTAAATCTACACTGTAATGTAAAACAAATGTTAAAATAAGTCGTACAAGCTAAGTATAAACATCAAGATCTATCTACATCACATATAAATCTGGAGAAACTACCAACTTTGTCATTAAATCTACACTGTAATGTAAAACAAATGTTAAAATAAGTCGTACAAGCTAAGCATAAACATCAAGATCTATCTGCATCACATATAAATCTGGAAAGACTACCAACTTTGTCATTAAATCTATGCTGCAATGTAAAATAAATTGCTTCGCCGAGCGCAGCTGGATACGACCGCAGAGGTCCAACCCTGAACAGTTGGGGCAAAAATGGACGCAATATTCGCACTTGATACAGGTCTGAATTTGGATTGTAATTAAATATTTGACACATAATAGGTTTCTGACACAGAATAACTGTAGTCAAAGAACTTAGAATATGATTTTTTGCTTTTGTGCAATACACTTTGCTGTTGCGAATTGACCCCCTCCCTCCCCTCACAAAAAAAAAATGAAAAATTTACCCCCCCCCCCCCCCCCCCCCCCCCTTTTTTTTTGTGCAATACACTATGCTGTTGCGTATTAACCCTCCCCCCACACACTTTTTTTTTGCAAAAAAAATAATATTTGAAGAATTTTTCTTTTTAATTTCTGAAATCTGAAATGAGAAAAAATTGACCCCCCCACAATTTCTTTTTACCCCCCCCCCCCCCCCCCCCCCTCCTTTTTCCCCCCAAAAAATTCTTTCCCTCAAGATATGGTCATAATCTCAATTCAAATTTCCAATGGAGTTTGCAACCATATTTACCCATTTAAATTTACCATAGTGCTAACTTAATCTATTTTATAATAGAATTTAAAATATGGTGTCAAATCTTTCATATGGATTTTTTAGTAAAAAAAAAAAGATGCAACATTTGCAGATATTTTTACTGGTCTTCCTTTATAAATATGCATTTCTTTAAACATAATTTAAAAGCAGTGTAAGGGAGGTAATTCAAATGATGCATTTGAATTACCTCCCTTACACTGCTTTAAATTATATTTTGTACTAAAGTATTTGTCCATTAACCAGGACACCCTTGTTTTCCCCCCTTTTTTGCCCCTTATTCCTAAACGGTTTGAACCATAACCCCCCAAAGCAAATTCTAACCATCCCTTTGTGATATGGAAACTTGTGGTATAATTTCAGAGAGATCCATACACTGTTCCACAAGTTATTGTCTGGAAACTAGAAAAATTCGTAAGGGTTCCCCGGAACCCAGTGTCTCGCCTACTTTTTGCTGTTAATCACAGGCTCAGCAAAAATGAGGAAAAAAATTAATAAAAATATTCCTCTCTATACTATCTTTTGATTGTAAGTAGCTCCTGTCCAAGTTTGGTAAAAATCCAGGATAGTTTATGAATCTAATAAATGTTTTAAAAACTTAAACTGCAGACTGTATGTAATGTTAACTGGAAGAAAAACTAAGTCCATTTATAAGTAAAATACGGAAAAAATGGAACAAAATTTCCTTCTAGATACTAGCTTTTAATCATAAACAAGCTTCTGTCTAAGTTTGGTTCAAATCCAGGATAGTTTAAGAAAGTTGTTAAAATTTTAAAAACTTTAACCACAGAGTGAATGTAATGTTAACTGGCAGAAAAACTAAGTCCATTTATAAGTAAAATACGGAAAAAATGGAATTTTTTTTTTACAAAATTTACTTCTGGATACTAGCTTTTAATCATAAACAAGCTTCTGTCCAAGTTTGGTACAAATCCAGGATAGTTTAAGAAAGTTGTTAAAATTTTAAAAACTTTAACCACAGAGTGAATGTAATGTTAACTGGCAGAAAAACTAAGTCCATTTATAAGTAAAATACGGAAAAAATGGAATTTTTTTTTTACAAAATTTACTTCTGGATACTATCTTATGATCATAAACAAGCTTCTTTCTAAGTTTGGTAGAAATCCAGGATAGTTTAAGAAAGTTATTAAAATTTCAAAAACTTTAACCACAGAGTGAATGTAATGTTTCCTGGCAGAAAAACTAAGTCCATTTATAAGTAAAATACGGAAAAAATGGAATTTTTTTTTTACAAAATTTACTTTTGAATATTATCTTATGATCATAAACAAGCTTCTGTCCAAGTTTGGTAGAAATCCAGGATAGTTTAAGAAAGTTATTAAAATTTCAAAAACTTTAACCACAGAGTGAATATTTGTGGACGCCGCCGCCGACGACGACGACGCCGACGGAATGTAGGATCGCTATGTCTCGCTTTTTCGACAAAAGTCGAAGGCTCGACAAAAATGCTAATTGTTTGCCCCTTTTTGGCCCTCAATTCCTTAACTGTTGGTACCATAACCCCCAAAATCAATCCCAACCTTCCCTTTGTGGTATTGAACCTTCAGGTTAAAATAAGTCTATAATGATGGCATATTTTAATTGATAAGAGTTAATGTGCTATTATCATGGAATTATCTCTAAATTTTAATTTAACACTTACTAACCTTATGTTCTTAAGAAAATTCTGATCTTGTTTATTTGCTAGAAAATTTGCCAACAACCAATTAAAACAATCATTTTCTAATGCCTGCAGTCCATACATCTGACTAGCTTCATAATATATATGTACCATCTTTGAGCTGAAATGACAAATTAAAAAAAGAGATGTTTTTTTTTAATTTACATTAATACATACATCTTTGAAAGTTTGGGATATCTTAAGGTTGATCAGAACTGATATTTTGCACTACTAAAACAAATAAACTGTTGACACAGAGATATGACTGGCCTATCTGCATAAAATTCAGAAAAAAGACAATCTGATGGACAGCAAAATGGCTTATTAATTCAGTCATTGGACCATGATCTAGTGCATTTAGTGGGCAGGGCCTGAAAATGGTCAACAAATTGAAATGTACAGACAGTCACTGGACCATGACTTAAGTCGTCTAACTAATATGTACTGATAGCAATGCAACTTCATAGTATATATCAATGATCTATCACAAGTAGTTTCTATCAAACTAACTTAAGCAGAAAACTTAACATTGTCATTGTCGGAAAAGCCATCCCTATGTCTCGCTTTCCGTGAATTCCGTTGCTAAGGCGAGACAAAAACAATGTGAAAATATTGATCACTATGTCATAAGACAATATGGAAAAGTCTACATTCATGGTACATTAGTCCCTCTCCTACAAAGTCTAAAAAGGTAAATCTTACTTTAAAAGAGAGAAGGCATTAAGTACAGATTTTTGGGTTTTCTACACAATGATGTCGTAAAATATCATCCCAGACTCACAATACAAGGAGTCAAAAAGTTTCACATTGTGTTGAGCAACTGATATCTTACAATATCTACATGCAGAAAACCTGGAGAACAGTTTTTTGTACTTATTCTGGTAATTCTTTCAAACTTGGTTGTCCTATTGGAATGTAAGCTTGATAAGTTCTGCTCTCACATTGAGAAGTTGCGATAAGTTTTGCTCAAGCTTCACAAAGCCATATGTAAATTAGGGAAAGGATGAGCAGGGTAGTATAGCCACAGGGAAGTATGATAAAGGGACAACAAGTGAAACTGCCAGCTACTGCTCACTGATGATACCCCCGCCCAAATATTTCGGTAAACAGGAAGTTGTTGAGTGATGAATCTGAAAACGCACCACACTGTATAGCTGACTTATATAAACCCTGAAACCAAATTTCAGAAATCCTTGTATTGTAGTTCCTGAGAAAGATGCGACAAAAAATATTCATGGGACAGAAGGAGGGACTGACGGATGGATGGACTGACGGATGGACTGACGGACAGATGGACAGACAGTGGTAAAACAGTATACCCCCACTTTTTAAAAGCGGGGGTATAATAATTATTGTTCTTAAGAGAGAATCCTGTATTGTAACTGTATTTTTGTATGTTTATATCAATCAGAACATTGTGCTACCTTCACTTTGATGAATAAATTACTCTGCACACACTTAAAAAAAGGATTTATATATATAGGACTAATTATACACTCATACCTTAGCGTATCTGTCATCAATTCCTTACAATGCTGTATCAGTCCTTCCTACAATTTAAGGAGAAAAATTTAATGTAGCTAGATATGTTAAACCTTTTAGTGTCTCACTCATTTTAAAATAGGATGTATGTTTTAAAAAATAGTCCATGATGTACATTTTGAAATAAATACTGCCTCCTATCAGGACCATATATATTGACGGGACTTGACACTACATAATTATAGCTGATTTTATCATCGGGGTCATAGTTAATAATAAATGACACGATACGGAAATGGACATGTGTAAAATACGTACTCGCTATTATCTTAATAATTTCTGATAATATTAATAAAATGTCATTCAAACTAAGTAATAAGTGATGCCAGTGTATCGCACTTGTAATCTGTCACTTCAAATTTGTCATAATCGCATTTCATCACAGAAGGGTATAGAATGCAAACGGGGTAATAAATATATGGCGACGATGGCATTCCCAGTAACCGTGAATTTTACAAAACATTATAAAACACTTCACATCAAGTAAATCACACTTATATTGGTCATTTTATATGACAAAAAATATCTTCTTTTCGATAAAACTGACCTCTTTATTGTATTTGTTGAACGTTTGTAAATAATGTAGTTAATTTATTGAGCAGTTCCAATAGTTTTTCAGTCAGACGCTTCCAAAATCCATAAATCTCTTGAAGTCGTAAAGTTTTGGATGTTATCAATTTTATACAGAAAAGCCTATCAGATTCATTTCCCGTTAGATATACTGTTCCCAGTTTCTCTTAGACATGACCATTTTATCATTGGTTCCACTCGTTAGTGTTTTTTATTTTTTCAGGAGTTGTATAAAATAAATTATGAATGTCTCTTCTGTAACTATTATATAAAGTCCAAAGGTACATTGCAATAAACAGAGAGTCAATTGGAAAACAGTTTTTTCTGGTTCAATCTGCAGCTATCCATTTTATATCTAGAAAACAAAAATTAAAGTCACAACCAAAACGTCATAAATAATTCTTATCCTGCATAATAACAGAGATGAACAAAATACCCTTCTACAGACCCCTTTGCTTGGAAGCATTAAAGATTTCACACAGAAAACTCAATATATCATTAGTATTGCAACAGTAGGATACAAAATAGGAAACAAACTCAATATATTGAAATAGCTCTTAATTAATGAATGCACTGACAAAGCAGGACTTCTGAAACAGTATCTGGTACATGTACTTACTAATTGTAATAAAATAGCAGTTGCCAAGACACCTACGACTTCTACTGGTTTAATGAATATATAATCTTGATACAAAGATCCAAATGTTATCTTCAATGCTAAAATATATAAAATTACAATGAATTTACATTTTTCAATTGACCCAAAAATCATCTACAATACTAATATACACAAAAAGTATAGTCTTTGTACAGAAATAAAAGGTGTATCTTCAAAACTGCAATTAAAAACAATAACGGAAATAGTGTTTAAACGTACAATTAGCATATATCTATTCAGTTTTCAGCATTAAAAGGCAAAAAGATTATATAATTTTTCAGACATGTTTCTTCACCTGTGTGATGATAAACTTAGAAAAAAGACCAGTAACATCAATAAAGTTATAATGAAGTCCATTAATGCACAAATTACCTTATACCACACATAACTTTACTACCAATACTAGGATTAAAAAGAACATATGACTCTAAAAATACCCTTCCTGGTTAGGATGTTGTAGTACAGCAACCGATATCAGCAGGTTGGGTGCTTTGAGCTTGCTTTCAGTAACTGCAAGACCTCTTTATACAGCAAAATATTGTTTATTTTGTGTTTTGTGAGCTATTATACAAAGTGTGTATGGGGAGATGGTTGAGATCTTGAAAAATAGTGTAACTCTTCCTTATTCATGTGCCTCTCCCATGACGGGAATCATGGAATGTCGTACATGTACCGGTATGTCAAATCTTAATTTATTTGTAAATTTAGAGAATTTGGTGTTAAGTGCAGATCTTTGCTGTTTCTGTTTTACAGCTGTTAAACAACTCACTAAGATCTAGAACTTGAAACATTGTAGACACCTGTTGTAGACTGTATTCACTCTAGACCATATTTTGGTATTTGTACCTTTAGGTTGATGTCTCTTTGATGTATACACCACATCTTCTTTTATTCATACTTGTTTTTAAACTTCAAAACTTCAAATGCTCTTCAAAGGGTATACATTTTTTTCTTCCTTTAGAGATGATACTGTACAGTTGAACTCAAAAGTGATATGACTAAAAATTTAAAGTAATCTACTCACCTGTTTCGTCAATATTAGGATCTGCTACATCTATAACAACATTTTTACTCGAGGATTCTGACCAGGATCCGTTAAACATACAGGAAAAATAAGGAGACTGAAAGAAAAACAATATTCTGCAATGTGAATGGTATTAGTATGTAAATGATTTATTTGAATGATGAGAATATAATTTTCTACAATATCAAAGTATATGATTTCTAATTTATATAGGATTTATGTACAGGTTTGATCTGGGCATTGCACAATATTGTGTCTTCCTGGAATGTATCTGACATTGGTCTATGAAATATGCTCTTAAATAAATCAACTATATAGGATGGATGACTGCATGAATCATGTGATTTCATATAAACAAGTTCAGTACTTTGAGCTTGCCTTATTAACTGTCAGCTTTCTTTGGTGTGGTATTATTCATCATTGTTTCAGTTATTTTTTTCCTATGTGACTTTGTTATTGTAGACTTGTGCTTTATCTGCATGGATCTCTATGACCTGTTTTATGATGGCTCACTGCAATCGTCAAATAATCCCCACCATTGTCAAAATTTGTTTTCGTATTGCTAGCCGTCGCCATTTTTGTTAGCAATTACAATCAATTGCATAACTCTTATTGTATTAAAATCCAAAGGGTCCTCGAGATCCTTATTACAATTTTCATCCATGGAGATCCCTGTATCTGTACTGATTTTTTTTTCATTATTTTAAGTCTTAATGTACCATTCATCATTCCACTGACAGAAATTAAAACTCTTTTAAGGGGAGGGTTGAAGATCTCAGGAAACAAGTTTAACCCCTCCCATACTTGTATATTCCACTGCCTCTCCTTAGTTAGGAACCTTCTCAGTGGTGTTTTTTTTTTGTCTTTAGAGAAATTTTGATTTGGAGGAGAGAATTGATAGTCTCTGTTAATTTATTTACATTATTCTTAAACACAGGACAATTCAGAGCTTTAATTACATACTGCAAAGACACTTGCCTACTGCTGATGACCTTATGCTGACCTTTGGATGTCTTTGATGATCACCAATGCAAATCGTCATGGATATGTTGATCATATCATTATCTGTGATATGATATTCATCATATGAAAACAATATTACAAAACTCAGGTAATATTATCACTTTCTTGGAAAAGCAATTGCATAAAACATATTTTCTATTCTTTAGTTTGTTTCAATGCATGATACCTGTGACAAGTAAACTTTATGGAGATACCATTCTTTCCCGGAAGCTGTAATTGTAATGTCACTATTTTCTCCATCTATAAATAATGTCTGGTAGATATACTTTGAAGTTGAAAGTAGTCGTTTTCTGAAAAATAATAATAGATAAACTATACCTTACTGTACATGTATCAAGAAAACAAGGATATATGATTAACACGGATGAGAAATTTTAAATCTTAAGAAATAGAAGGATAACAGTCTAGAATGACAAAACACTTATAGATGCTTATTATGGTAGTTTTATAATAAGGCATAAGTACACACTGGAAATTTTGTTTGACTGTCTGACATCGTTCTCATTCAGGTCCCTGGTCAGACCACCTGCTGCGATCAGGGGTCCTAGTATGAATAATAATACTACTATTTATTCAGGTGAAGGCAATATATACAATCATATTAAGTTTTTAGAAACTTAACTATATACAATCTTAAAATATAGAAAAATTTGTGATGTCAAGAATTCAACAAAATTCTATGTACGGGAGAATTAAATTTTCATATTTCAAAAGTGCATACAAAATGAATTTGTAAATAAATTTAAATAAGGTAATCCATGCCGAATTGCCCCACTTTTTCACCAACTCGACCCAATTATGAAAAAGGGTAATATCCTGACAAATAAAGGTCTGCCAACTCGCCAAACTTACAAAAAGGAGTTTAATCCCATTGAATAAAGGTCTGCCAACTCGACCCACTAACGAAAAAAATTAAAATTAAACCATCCTGAATTTAGGCTTACCAACAAATAAATACTAGAATTACATAATAATAAATAATGTATCTACAATAGTTGATTTTAAGAAATGAAGCATCATTTAATTTCAATCATAAATTCATGATCAAACACAATATTTAAATTTTCTTTTTTTTATCAGTATTACAAGTTCATCGAGATTTTACCCTGTGCTGAGTTGGTGGAAAAGTTAGGCGATTTGGCAGTGGCACAACTTGTCTTGCTTCCCAAATAAGACTTAGAGGGTCGTAATGGGAGTACCTTCATGACGAATAATGGTAAAAAATCTTGCCAAATGACATTAATGGTAATTTTTGGTGCATGACGATAAAATGTACACTTTCTTTTAGACAATAAAAAAAATCTACTGATTTTTACTAGTCAGGTTAAATTTTTTCCTAAAATAACGGTAACGATAATTATTTGAGACCTCTGATGAATCACATTAAGGATATTTTGACTAATCACGGTAAAATTTTAACCAATTTGACGCCTGACGGTAGCCAATCAAAGCACTGTAAGCGCTGTAGGCAGTTAACCAAAAACCAAGGCAAACATAATTATGAAAACTGTGGCTATGTTGCTTCATTTTTTTTAAGATTTAAAAGAACAAACATTAAACATTCATATATTGTGCATTTATGTTCATTTAATGAATTAATTATTAAGGCAAATAATTCATATTTTATCAAGGTTTTCCAAAGCAATGCATATATCAAGTATATTTTTAATGGTCATGTGTCTGCAGTGGTACAAGTTCGAAATGATTGCAGTTGTTCTAGTTGATAGTTAACGTTGGTATTAGTTGACTGTTAGTAGTTCAAGTTGACTTAGTACGAGCTTGTAATAGTATGCATGGACTTGCTTCCCTGGAAAGAAAACTGAGTTTGTGTTCTACAGTGCAAAAGTTATGAGACACAAATCAGACAAATGTTTACTACTACGGGGATCAAAGGTGAGGTCTGACTGACCTGCCCATAGTAAATGTAAATAACCCCCGCCTTCACCCCAAGTCCATGATGTCTAAGTTTGGAATAAAATGACAGGTGATTATAATAAAGTTGGTCAAACATTCTTGGGCTTGAAAGATATGTTTTCTTTAAAATGAGCCATATTAAAATGAAATTTTTTATAGAACCAGAAATTATTCAAAATATAATTAAGGTAAATTCTTTAAACCTACTCATTTTTTGCATCAATAAAATTTTATAATAAACAAGAAATAATTGTAACAGAATGCTGTTACGAAGTCTCCCAAACAAAGCTCCCATAATTATTCATTCCCATGGTCGCCTGACATTGGGCAAAGTCTAGTACACATTGATTAGGTCTAGTAAAGTGATATGCATATGTGATGCCTATGAGATTGACCTTGTATGTCATTCAAATCTGTTTGAAATGACGAACAGGAATGAATATGGTTTAGGAGTTGGTATCTCAAACTTTTACAAGTTCTTAAAACACACACAAGAGGGGATGGGGTGACCTTAGGGACTACCCCTATATTTCATTTGATTTTTTATGTTGTCCCATACATGAATATATATATGGTTTAGGGGTGGGGATCTCGGCCGTTATCAAGTTTTCAAACAGGAGGGGGTGGGGTGACCCCAGTGACTTCCCCTATATTTCATTTGATTTGTTATATTGCCAAATACATGAGTATATATGGTTTAGGGGTGGGGATCTCATCTGTTTCCAAGTTATCAAACAGGACAATATTTCATTTGATAAGTTCTGCTGTCCCATACATGAATATATATGGTTTAATTTAGAGGTCGGGATCTCGACTGTTTCCAAGTTCTCAAACAGGAGGGGTGGGGTGACTGCAGGGACTCCCCTATATTTCATTTGATTTGTTATATAGTCCCATACATGAATATATATGGTTTCGGGGTGAGGATCTCGACCGTTTCCAAGTTCTCAAACAGGATGGTTTACAGTGACCATAGGAGCTGCCCCTATATTTCATTTGATTTGTTATATTGTCCCATACATGAATATATATGGTTTAGGGTGGGGATCTCGACCGTTTTCAAATTCTCAAACAGGAAGGGGTAGAGTGGCTCCAAGCACTCAACCTATATTTCATATGATTTGTTATATTGTCCCATACATGAATATATATGGTTAAGGGGTGGGGATCTCGACCGTTTCCAAGTTCTCAAACAGGAGGGGTGGGGTGACCCCCAAGGACTCCCCCTATATTTCATTTCATTTGTTATATTGTCACATACATGAATATGTATGGTTTATGGGATCATTATTTTTTTGTATGCTCCAATGAACAAATTATGTCTTTAAGAGAAAGGTATATACCTACATATTACACACAAAATCCTTCCCAATTGAAACTTACTGGTCTATTATCACACTGTAATGTGCCACTGCTAACAAAAGTGTGCATGTTTCTAAGACATATTGAAAAAATATTTTCATAATACAAAGCATGTTACAATAACTTCATATCCACGTTGCAATTAAGAATTTTGCAAACAAATCAACCAAATATGGTTTATTTCAATTTTATTGTATGATATCACTTATTTATTTATTGTGTGTCTTGCTTGTAAATGTATAAGTATATATGTAATTGTTAATGTATAATTGTTATCCTCTTGTAGCACCATACGTGTGCTTAAGTTTAGATAAATTGTCTTGTCTTGTCTTGGGATCTTGACCGTTTCCAAATTCTCAAACAGGAGGGGTGGGGTGACCGCAGGGACTCCCTCTATATTTCATTTGATTTATTATATTGTCCCATACATGAATATATTTGGTTTAGGGGTGGGGATCTCGACCATTTCAAAGTTCCCAAACAGGAGGGTTGGGGTGACCCCAGGGACTCCCCTGTATTTCATTTGATTAGTTATATTGTCCCATACATGAATATATATGGTTTAGGGGTGGGGATCTCGACTGTTTCCAAGTTCTCAAACAGGAGGGGTGGGGTAACCCTAGGGACTTCCCCCTATATTTCATTTGATTAGTTATATAGTCCCATACATGAATATATATGGTTTAGGAGTGGGGATCTCATCCGTTTCAAAGTTATCAAACCGGAGGGGGTAGAGTGTCCCAAAGGATTCCACCTATATATCATATGATTTGCTTACATTCAGGTATCATATAATCTAGTTGCACTATTTGTGAAAACAAAGTAAGAAACTTCCAGCTATTTTAACTGACCCTTCAAAATTGAGAAAAAAATTGCAGTAATATGTTTACACTTTAAAAGCATCTTACATGCATTATCAACATTTATCACTGATAAAGAAGATTTATACTGTCACCAGGAACATATATATTGTTAGATATACTGTTCCCAGCTGTCACATTGTATTCGATTTGGACATTAAAATTTGTCAGAAAGTAATTTTGAGTTTCTGTATCAAATATTTTTTGCTTTTTCTTTCTTTTACATATATCTTTTGGTTTCCATTTCTAGTGTTTATATTTATTTACCATGCATAGATGTATTTTGTCACCTGCCTGAAATTTTTTTTTTTGTAGTTGATCTCCAAAACCCGGAATTACCCTTATCCGCTTCCGGAATCGGACCCGATATTGTAATTGTCTACACGGCATCCATTGTTTTTCGATGTTGTTTTTGTCAGTCAGATACGATTTTACTCGAATTTACACATTACTTGTCGGCGATTATCTGTATAAAGCTAGCGGTTGAACAAAATGAACATCGCTGTTATGAATAATAAAGATGAAAATACGTTTTGAGGAATGCACGTCGTTTCGTAACCTGGTCGTTTCGTACCTGGTCGATTCGTAACTACCTTGTTTTGTAACTGAGACGTTTCGTAACTTTTGTAATTATATATGGTTATAAAGTGTTAGTTTAAATTAATTAGTTTAAATGAAAAAGTTAAAGTTATTATTTAAAAATAATCAAATTGTTCATCTAATAATAACAATATTGTAATTTTTTTAATTTAAAATTTTCTGAAATCTTTTTAATTATTGGCTAATTGGCTAATTGGTAATTACACTCGGTGACAGCTTTAATGGATTTATGACAACTAATGACAGGTAATAAAAAGTAATTACAGTAGGTGTAAAGTGATTAAGTAGATTAATGGCACACGACCTGAAAAAAATAATTATTTTCTCCTTTTTTTTCACTTTTACATGCAATTGCATAACCCTCCTCCTGTTTCGCCCGGGCTGGGGACCGGCGTTGGCGGAGTTAAAGTTTTTTTTTTTTTTAGAACACTTTATCTTACTCTTTCAGATACATCACTATGTTGTCCTTTGTTTGCATGCTTATACTGGCATAAAGCCTGATTTTTCATCCGAAAAACCCTGGTATAAACATGAAACAAAGTCTTAGTGGGCCGGAGCAGCAGCAGCAGTTGGTCCGTAAACAAAAGCGTCCTTGTATGTAGCGGGTCCTTACACGCTGATACCTTTTCAGTTTACCTTCGGATACCAACTTGATCTGTAGAGGAAGAAACGATGTCTCCTCGGAGTTGTCCTCGGTTATGACTCTAGGTGGTGGTCGGCGTCTAACAATATAATGATCTGAATCTGAGTCACTGTCACTAAAAAGAGGTAATTTGGGTCCAAAAATCGTAACAATTACGGGAAAATCGTAATGGTTGGCATCTATGCTTATCAAGTTCTGTCGAAACAAAGCTTCACGGGGTAGGCGGGAGAAAAGTACAGTCATTGAGACATTTTGATCTCCACATAGTGAAGAAATTTAAACCCGACTTTGTTTTCATACAGATTGGAGAGAATGACATCTGTGATAAATTATCTGCATCACACACAGCATCAGAGATTGTACAACTCGCAAAAGATGTCAAGCGCTTAGGTGTTCCTTCTGTAGTTATAGGCTCCAACATCGTCAGACTAAAAACAAGAAACATGAAAGAAACAACTTATGATAGAAAAAAAAAAGAAAATAAATAAAGAACTAAGCAACATAAAGATGAGTGGTGTCAAGTATTGGAGACATCAAAGCACGTGGCAGAAGACTAAATACTTTGATAAAGACGGGGTACATCTAAATGATGATGGACAATTCAAATTCTTCTGTTCTATTCGCATGTGTGCAAAACTGTACTTGTAAAGTGTAAATTTATGTGCAATTAATTATTTAATAAATAAATATAGATATATATATATACACATACATCACTAAGTCTTTTTATTACTTTTTGCGTAACCTACTACTCTTATTGTTATTATATATTGATGTAAGGTTACAAAACGTCTCAGGTACGAAACGACCTAGTTAAGTTACGTATCGACTAGTTACGAAACGACCAGGTTACTAAACGACCTGCACCCGTTTTGAGATCGTTTATTTAGAGACTTTGGTAAAAAGGTTTGCAAAGTTATTTTTAATTTCTTTCAAGTGAAAGGTCCGTCGGGCGTAGCTAGTAACCAAGTCGAGAGTCCGATTGCAAAAGTGGAAGGTCGCGGACCTCGGACCACCGCTAATTTGAACCCCTGCCTCCAAATTGAAATGATACGAAAATTTCGTCTTCTAAATTGAAATTGCCGCCAACAGCATGAACAGTTGAACTTATTAATAGACTACTGACGTAGTTGTACCACGTATTGACGACAAACAATATTCCTACGACTTTTGCCATTTGGGAAATCTAAACTACTTGTCTTTAAAGATTTTCGGCGATTAAATATTTCATACAATTGTTCTTTGACATCTTAGCCAAAAGCACAGGGGATAATAAACTACATAAGGATTCCTAATGTGCTCTACTTCCTATGTGCAACTTCAAAACTTTTGGGTGTTTCGACGATCATTTAAGGTTTTTTCTGGTCATATTTTTGTAATCCAGAATTAAAAGTATGAAAAAACTATTCAATTAGTTATAAATAACATTATATCCAGCTAGATAATAACAATGGCACGTATTTCAGCATTTATTGGGTAGAACACAAATCTAGGGTGCTCGCATAAGGCAGCTTAACTGCCTAAAAATGACTGTTTGACGCCTGATGGTAAAAGGCATTCCTACCCTCAAATAAGGTTTATGATTGCATGCAAATAATCCTGGGTTTGAACCCCATCTGGTACAGTATCAATTTTAGGAGACAAATCTTTCTCTCTGGTTACAGATAAAAAACAAAGCAGTTCTCCAGCAAGAGGAGAAATTTACAGAACAACATTATTGTACTTTTTAGGGGTGTGCATTTCCTCTTCTTCATCTGTCGAATCATTATCCTGCAACCTTTTTCTTTTTAATGATGTGGTTCCCTTATTAGATTGACGACTTGGACTACCAAGCTTTGCTAATTTGTTCCCCATTCTAATATTTTGTTGAAACCTTCAACTTGATTTTCCCTGGCTTTGGTCTTTGACATTTCCGGTTTGTGAGAGAATCTAAATCAGTAACGTACAGCGGACTGGACTTTATTTCCGTATTTCAAATTCTTAAAAAAGAATATAGTGACAATGCTCATATATATCTAAGACTAGCATGATAATAAAGTTGATCCTAGTCTAAGTGTAAATCTGGCAAAAAATCCACAACCGCAAATTATCATAGAACATATGGAAATTTAGAATGTTTTCAGAGTATGGCATCGGGACGATTTCCAAAATGTAGCAAAATTAGACTGTATCCTCAAATCGTTACGAACCAGGAACCAGGCTCCCAACAAAAATCAAGACCGATAATCCTGGACCGGCAATCTGACCTAGTCCCGTCGAAATGGCTCAAGTATTTCGCACAGCTGTGAGGTCTTTTGCAACCTCTTCGAGCAGGCAAAATGCCATAAAAACTGTTACAGTTATTGGTGGAGGATTGATGGGATCAGGAATAGCCCAAGTATAATAATTATTTGTTAAAACCAGGAACATTAGGTTATATATATTACAACGACCTTTGGACCTTACTGAATTTCAGTAGGTTCATCTGAAAGTTTTACTGGACCTGAGCATGCCTCCCAAAATAACAAAATCTCAAAATGATATAGGTATCAATTGAACTTGGCCACCACAATATTTGTATACTAGGAATGCGGGACAACTCGGCCCGGAGACAACTCAGACCCAGTCAACTTGTACCAACTAATAAGTCTAGCTAAAAAGTCAACTCAGACGGTTTACAATGACAGCTCAGACAAAGTGTTAAAAGAGGATTTGAACTACCTAACTTAATCAATTTATTATAATCTTAATTTAAGGCTAAAGAAGTCTATGTTGAATTTGTTTTATTTATTTGCTGAATTCTTTATTATTTTTTTAACCTAAAGTACGTGCAGTCTGTCAATAAGTCAACTCAGACGGTCTTTTTTAAAGTCATCTCAAGACTGTCTATAATGCCAATTCTAACACAGTACAATGTATAAACATTGAGTTCAAATGGGCTATTTATATGATAAAATGTTATATCTCACTTAAAATTATCGTGTATACCTTGCTGCATTTGCAAATGAGGTGTCGTGCAATAATTTTTTGATTGTAAATTCTAATTTCTACTTCATCATGGTGATTCTATATTTTGAATAATATCTTAATTCATTAAACAATCTTAACTTATCAGTGTTAATTGAATTCTTTATTTATTATATTTGTTTCTTAAAATCTCATTTCATTTTACCTACATACAGATAATTTGTTTATGGCTTTGTCATACTTCAGAATAGAGTCCTGCTTAAAGTGTTCTCGACCAGTTAGACCTTGCCAAGAGGTTGTATGCTGTAACCAATGCAACAGATCTAGACTACATCACAGAACATGTAAAACAGAATCTACCAAAACATTACAAATGTTATTTACATATCATGCTTATATAGCTATCAAACAATAGAAATAAAAATAAATCTATGAAGTGTTATTCAATCTTTAACAATATAGATATAGATGCATGTCAATAGAAATTGTCCAGAGTCCAAAAGTTGTGATATTGAATTTTCTATATAGACGGTCCAAGTTGTCTTTTTCGTCATTTATACTCAAAATGGGTGTCAAAGCTCTCCCTTTATGCTTTTCAGACACATTTTTTTCATCGAAGACACTCATTTAATCATTTATATAGTCAAAAGTCTCCTTTTATACTTAGTCTGAGTTGGCATTATAGATGGTCCATGTTGACTTTATAGACGGTCCAAATTGACTTTATAGACGGTCCAAATTGGCTTTTTTGTAGACGGTCCGAGTTGTCTCGTCACTAGCTAGGATTATCGGGGGGAGAGCAGCAGTATTTTTTTCTCCCAGATTATTTTATTAACTTGATAACTGGATATACATGTATATATTCCTTGCAAACCTCACAAGCAATTTTCAGTTAGCTAAATAAAATTGTTCTCCAGCTGACATTGAGTATGTAATTCTTTTCATTCATTTCCTGCAAAAGAAAGTTATTTGAAACTTTTTTAGTGCCTTGTGAGAAAAACAATGAACTACAGATATTGTATTTCTAGGTAGCAGCTACAACAGGGCACCAGGTTGTTATGGTTGATCAGACAGATGATATTCTGGGTAAATCTAAGGCATCAATACAGAAAAGTCTACAGAGGGTGGTAAAGAAAAAGTTTGCTGAGGATCCAAAGGTGATGACGGATAGTAAAGATTGCAATTGTAACCTATTGAACAAAAAAAAAAAAAAACATGATTCTTTATTTTGCAATAATTCCTTCTTTCAAAATAAAATGCATGGAAAATGCCTCCTATGAAATAAAATGCATGGAAACTATAATTTTTTCCTCACATATGAAGACTCTGAACACTGATTAAAGTGAATGAACATGAGGAAAGAAGAAATCTCACACCTCAGTTTTGGTGGATGAAGTCTTTCAAGTCTTTTGAAATCCAATACTTCAGGCTAGTCAAGTCTAACATAGAACGTTTCCAGGAATTGTATCCGTATCCCTGTGTGTGCTTTACAATTTTATAAATTCCATGCCTCATCTCGACACCGATTTTTACACATGATCGGCTGCAAGTCTGTTAAATAGAATCTACATGTACATCATTTTATGAAATGAAGACAAAGAAACAAATGTACAGTTAGTTTAAAAAATAAATGACTGTATATTAAATGTTATATTTTCTATTCTCATCTTTTAATGTTTTAATATCTCTGTTTTATTTGCATTTATTTTTATATTCCATCTTACTTATCATCAATCTTACATAATTTGAAATTTTCTTAAAAAAGTTAGCTACCTGTTTATGATGATCAGATCAGCCATTCTAAGGTTATACTTTTGTTGTCAAAATGTAGCCATCTTTTCATACATCATGTTTGTTTTTCACAGAATCATATGTTTTTTTTAGGACCGTGACACAACTAATAAAATTAAGCTTACATTTGATTTGAACGATTTCAGAGTTATGGGAATTTAATCATATAAAAACAAGGTGATTTTTACACATCTCATGATCTTAATATATGAGACAACCATCCACCAGAGATATGCTAAGAGAATAATACATGGAAAAATTTATATCACATGCTCTCTCAGCCAGAGAAATCAATATCTGCCAAAAGGACTTAGGTTGTTGGGATGGTATGCTATGCCATATACAATTTACCATGTATATTTCACTTTACCTTTATCATATATTCATTTAAAAATGTTAATTCTAGAAACATACCAAACAAGGGCTTAATGAAGGATGTACAGTAAAAGCTAGTGTTGATTCATAGATGGTTAATTTAAATCGTTATTGATTGTTGAATTTAGGGTGGTGAACAGTTTGTATCAGATATATTAGGAAGAATTACAACACAAACAGATTCTAATGCAGCTGTGGCCAATACTGACTTAGTTATAGAAGCCATTGTAGAAAATATTGATATAAAAAAAAAGTTGTTTTCTAGTCTAGACAAGGCAGCACCACAGTAAGTAAGATAAACTTATTACATGCTTGATTCACCTGCTAATTGAATATTAGATTCATTAAAGTCATTATATTATTATGATAGCCTGAATGGCAGTTAAAGGGTTTAATGATCTTCTAACAATACACTACTGCAGGTAGTTTTATAAAGGTTCTCAAAAATTCTTGTATATATTTTTTTTTAAATTCAGCCAGTACTTGCCAGTAGTAGTCTCATATTGTCCCAAGTCAGAAGCCTGTAATTCAATGGTTGTCGTTTGTTGCTGTCTGTCATATTGGTTTTTATGCCCCTGTCTGTGTTAAAAAAATCTGACAATAATTGGCTGAGTGCAAATGACCAAAGATTATGTACAGTTGATGCTAAGTTATAATTTATTTTTTAGACACACAATATTCACCAGTAACACATCGTCATTACCGATCGGTGATATAGCAGTATCTACACAAAGGCAAGACAGATTTGGGGGATTACATTTCTTTAATCCTGTTCCTATGATGAAGTTATTAGAGGTAAGTGAGAAAGTACTTACAGAGCAGCTTGATCCTCTTTTCATAGTCCAGCAATTTATTAGTTTTCATATTGACGTCAGTTTTCCATTTGCAAAAATGATGAGTAAACTGCATGTTTCAAGGAGCCTATTCTCTCCCCTGACCTATACATTATGACCTTATGTAAGCTTTTGATATAACATCCTACATCAAATGTGTTATGATACTAAAACATTCTTACAAATATATATACATGGACAATATTTTGGATTTTTGGAGAAGAATAAAAATTTCTAAAGGTTTAGTGTGTACCAAGCAGAATCAATTATATTCTCTTGTTTCAATAGTTGTCATTTGCTGATTATAATGATTATTTTTTTTGAATATTTCATGAAGGAATTTCTTTACATAATAAGTTCCAAATCATGAAGAAGTTCATAAAGGATCTTCGAATATACTTAAAATAATGTTTGAAAATATTTAGATTTGTATTTTCAGAAATGAATTTTCAAACAAAATTAACGAATCATGATTTTATTTTACCTCTTTTTTATTTCAATTTCAGGTTGTTAGGATACCAGCTACTAGTGATGAAACATTTAACAAGTTATCAGATTTTGGTAAAGCCATGAAGAAAACAACAGTTGATTGTAAGGTAAGCTGATTTGTACATGATATCCACTGTGGAACAATTAGTTTAAACCCAAGGGTCGACTAGGGTGTAGAAGTATGGACTTACATAGACTTTACCTGTATGTCAGATACATATTGTCAGAATATGATATTAAGTCTGTGTCCTCCAATGCTCTTTGAGCAAAGAAGAATCTTTGTTATAACTCTTTAATGAGTACTTTTTGCAAGGCAAAATTACAATCCCTATCCAACAAACCTTTTTATGGTCTTGGCAGTATAAATTTCTTGTTTTCTTATGTTGATTTACTTTTAAAAAACCTATTTTGTTCTCATGGTTTTTTTGTTATTTTGTCCTAATATGCATAAAATACTTTCCACAGGATTTAAAGCAAACAAAGATCAATTTATCTTGTCAATTAGTAGTCTGCCTTTGTATCAGTACATTAAATATCAGATACAAGGGCTTTGTTTAGTTTTTGTGGTTAGATCTGTTTCTAAGACGCTATAAGCAAAAGGTCAACTATATTTGAGGTATTGAATGATTGCAGGGTTTTCATGACCTTGAATTTATTTTTATGGTTCATTGGCCAATGTTAAGTTTATGTGATACTTGTATTAAAAACCTTTATCTTAAAAACTTTCAAAATTAATTCAATCATGATCATGAAAGCAGGTACGACTTTCAGCCTTTGCACGCTTGTACTATTTTTAACTTTGATATTATACTAGATCCCCAAATATTATGGTATTCCACTTACCTAAACTTTTTCTTAATACTGCTCTCTACTATCAGAACATTGTAATGATGGGCTGCTCTTCAGTAAAACAGTAAATATTTACAATTCTAACAAAACATTTGTATTATATACCCTTACAGGATACACCTGGTTTCATAGTAAACAGACTTCTAGTTCCCTACACAATAGAAGCAATGAGAATGGTAGAGAGAGGTAAGTATAGTTAATTCTGTGCATGTTTTTTGGCATTTTGGCATTTCAGATTGTAGATAGATATATTTAATAAATTGTTAGTTCTGTACATAGAACCATTTGGAAAGGTAGAAAGACGATAGTAAAGTTGATAAGTTTTAAGAAATATGTTTGAGTGTTTTATAGTGTTTTTCGCACTGATAACAATTTAGTGAAATTGATTTGGTTCAAAGATAACCTCTGCTTTGTTGGACTCAAGACTTTAACCTGATGCTTAGGGTTACATTATTGTGTTAAAAGTTATCTCCCCTAAAGTTATATCAACTTGCCTCAAACATTGGAATTCAAGAGTTAATTAATGAGCAGGAACAAATTTATGTATTATTGTATAAAAATGTATAACAACATGGAATGATACAATATTTACAACATTTTTCATCCATATTTATATTTCTGTACATTTATATTGTCATATAATCCTGACTTTGAAACAGATTTCAGATATCAGATTTTGTTTACTCAGACACATACTTGAAGTGAGGTGCTGATTATACATTTCATATTATCTATAACTTTGATACAGTGCTGGTAATTAATCTATCTGAGTTGTTGTTTTAGGTGATGCTAGCTTTAAAGATGTGGACACAGCTATGAAGCTAGGTGCTGGATATCCCATGGGGCCATTTGAACTTAGTGATTATGTTGGACTAGACACCATGAAGTTTATTCTTGATGGTATGTTAAGGATATATTTTGTGGTTTGTCAAGAAAATGATTTTTATTTCTCCTATAAATTTTGTCAGGCATTGCAATTTAATGATAAAGAAAAATGATAATAGTTTCGTATTTGTCCATTTTTTAATCAAAATATGTATCAAATATTCATCTCATTTACAGTTTCATAAAAAACTAAAAGATTTCGTTTTAAGGTGAATCATCAGATATCATTTTCTTATACTTTGCCAAAATGTAGATTTCACCATGCTTTTTTCCTAAATATTATAAAAAGTATGGGTCACCATGCTATTTTTCAAGCTACAAGTCCAGCAAATGTACCTAATTTTGCATAGATTATTCATGTAAAAACACTTTTATCTGAAGAAAAAGAAATCTATGAGATAAAATTTTGAAATAAAATATAAAATATAGGTTTTATAATATGCTTTAAGAAAATAAAAAGAAAAAATGGTGTCACCGAAATTGTTTTTAGTTTTGCTACAAGTTCACTAACATTCCTTTTAATTATTTTTTTTTACTATGATAGTTATCTCTCCTTATATGGCTTTATTGAAACAAAAACAAATATTTGGTATTTATTATGACAGTCTTTTAAATAATGCAATAAATCATTATTTTTCTTTATTTAAATAAACAGTCTTACACATTGATTGCCAGTCTTACTCAAAATTTGCAGATTTAAGCAAAGAACTAGACCGATTGTGTACTGATATTTTACAATCCAAGATGGCGGTATAAGTTAATCTATCTTAAAAAATATTTACATATGGAAGAAAAATATCACAAACTAATGGTACATCATCATCGTCAGATTTATTCAGTGAAAACCAAGTTAATAAATGTTTTATTTTACAGGATGGGCGGTTAAATATCCAGACAATCCTTTGTTTCAACCAAGTGCCTTATTGGATAAATATGTAGCTGAAGGTAAACTTGGTGCTAAATCTGGAGAAGGATTCTATAACTACAAGAAAAAATGATCCAGAAGTGTACCATCATAGGGGAACAATAAATACCTATAATTGTGATAATTGATTCATTGTTAATGTATAGAAGGAATCCTAAAGTCTCGGTTGATTATGGTTCATTGACAATGAAGTCTGATGATAAATGATTATGTAGTTTTCAAAGAAGCACAAGGAATTCGTTAGTATCTTTGAAGCTGACATATTATGATTACTACAATTGATTATATTAAACAGATATTATTTTTCTATAAAATTGTGTTGTTTTCTTTTCATGGTCCACAATTTAGATGAGGTATATAAATCTACATTTATACTTACATTTTGTTGTCACTCTACATACCATGGCAGAAGGACATAGAACATGTAACACTATTCTACTGACACCATGCCCAAAACCTTTTATTCTTAGTGAGATGGAATGATATGGTTAACTGCATGCAGGAAAGCTTTCATACTTAGTAGGATTGTTTATCATATGTAGTAGACCATTCTTTCCTTTACAAAATTTTCAGGAGTTGTGGCATTTTGATCATTTTGATCCTATTGTAGCATAATGTCACCTTGTAAACATTGCTCCTCTGAGATTGTTTTCAAGAAAGGTTTCATGCTTAATAGGATTGTTTTTAATCCAGTGAATGGCAATGCTTTGAATCCTTATATATCATGAGCTTTCAAACTTTATGAAATTGCTTGTTCTTTTGCATAATTGACCTCACTAGACAACATTTTTGATTTGACAATTTACTGTCATACTGGATACCGGTAGTACCCCGGTAAGCCATAAAAGGCTCAGACATGATAAAATGTAAAACAAATCAGTTTGCATACCAACAGCCTGATTAATGTAAAGAAAATTATGACTGATAAACCAACAACAACTACTGAATTATAGGCTCATAACTTGGGACAGGCACAGAATGTCAGAGAGTTTAACATGATCGCAAGGCCTCAAACCTCCCCTATCCTGAACAGAGGTGTTACAGAAACAGTGTAAAAATCAGTTGGAAAGGGCTTGTCTCATTGTGTTCAACTCCAATATTGACGGACTAAGATAGTCAATTTAACTGCCGAAGATCCTGGTTCTCTGGGTACACCAACAATCAATCAAATAGCAATGGCATTTTATCGGGACAACATTGTTATATGGTGCAATAACAATTGTGTCCAGATTGGGCAAGTGACTGGAAAATAATTTTTATGCAGGTCTTTTGTAAAGGAACATGGTAACATATATATTAATAATAATGCATCTAGATTTAAGTTACAGGCTGGGCATACTGTGTCTTTCTTTTTGTCATTCTGAAATCAGTTGTCCAGAATTTTTATTCCCCCGCCGAAGCAGAGGGGGCATTAAGTTTTACCCTTGTCCATCTGTCTGTATTGGTTTCTGTTCTCTAACTTAAGTTTGCCTCAACCAAATGTTATGAAACTTATACACAATGCTTATTACCACAATACACAGATCAAGTTTGAATTTTGGTGGCATCACTTTTACTGTTCTAGAGTTATGCCCATTTACAAATGGAAAAATTTCTAAATTTTTCATTTTTTTTTCTAAAAATATCAATGATGTCATTGTTCAAGTAATTTTTAAAATTGGAGTTATCTTCCTTTGTCCATGATTATAGTTGAATCAACTACAATCAATGCTTTATACAATGCAATGTTTAATTTTGCCTTCCAGTGATAAAACACAGATCAAGTTGAATTTGGGTAGTGTCACTTTAACCATTATTGAGTTATGCCCCTTTATAAATAAAAAAATTGCAAAATTTTTAGTTTCTGTTCTGTAACTTAAGTTTGCCCCAACCAAACATGAAACCTATACACAATACTTATTACCACAAAACTAAGATCAAGTACAAATTTGGGTAGCGTCACTTTTATTGTTCTTGAGTTATGTCCCTTTATAATGTTGTATGCAAGCGGGGACACATCCTCCATTTATTTCTCATTATGCTTGCAGATTTCTGATATTGTTTAATGATGACCTACAGAAAAATTTGGTGTTTCAATCTGGTTACCTGATTTTTTTTGGATTTAGTGAACTTTATTCAGCTAACATTTTACAAATTTTCCTGAAATTAGGAAAATTTGTATTTATCCAGACTTTTTTTAAAAGTTTGCAGATCTAGAGTTGATTGTGTGTTGTTTCTGTTGACCAGCTTTTACAGTATTTAAGTTTGAATTTTATCATAGGTGATCAACATTTTTCAATCCAACATCCCCAAAACCCCTATTCAACTATTTTTCCCAGTAGCAGTATCCTGCTTTTCAAGACTAACCTATTTGATTTATAATATTAAAATTAGTTCTCATCCTTGAATGCACATGAAATATTTCTCAAGGACGTTCAGCCAATAGCTATCATTTTACAAATTCTGCATACATTTATGGAGCACCTTAGATAATCTTTGTTTTAATAACGGTTCTCAATTTTGCTTTCTGTGTAGTGTTCTGTTTAATGTTGGAAATCTTTTTCTTTTCTTTTCTATTGGTTTTAGTATTGTTGGTTTTTTACCAATATGAACTTTAGCAGCAATCTTCTGGAAATCAATCCTATACAATCCCTCCTCTTATCTACTTATGGTATCGTCATAGTAAAAACCATTCTAGGAAAGTTTTGTTTTAAGTAATCTCTTATCTGATGCCATAATACCAAAAGGCAGTTTAAGTATCACATAATCTTAAAATTATCAATGATTCATAAAAAATGTGGTTATATTCAGATAAACCTAGCCAGATAGACATGTTCACCTTACAATCTTTCCTACACCATAGTTGACATATTGCTTATAATATCTTGTAAGAGGACCTTGATACTGAAATTTAACATTGACCAATGAACAATGAAAATGAGATGAAACCTGCCAGACTGACATGTACACCTTACAATCATTTCGTACACAAAATATAGTTGACCAACTGCTTACAGTATGTTAAAAACAGACCTAATCATGTAACTTCAACCTTGATCACTGATCCATCAAATGAGGTCAAGGTCAGGTGATCCCTGTTTGATGGATATAAATACCTTGCAAGAAATCCATATACCAAATATATTTATCCTTTTACATATAATCCGTGAGAAATTTACATGACAAAAAAACTATTTTTTCTCAAGCAATTACTGAACCATGAAAATGAGGTCAAGGATAACAGACATATGACAGACGGAAACTTTGTAATATAAGGCATCTGTATACAAGTTATGAAGCCCAAAGATCTTCTACCATCAGAAATATAAAACCTATTTGTTATTTTGATAATGCAAATGTTGAATTTAAATAGCAATACTTTAACATGTAAGTTATGCAAATATTCAAAGTCAATGAACCATGACTGAAGGTACAAGGCTAAACAATCTCCATGGAAATGAGATGTGCCAATGCTGATACAACTGCAAACCAAATACCATTGACTTTTCATAAGTCATTCCCTGTAAACAAACCTAAACACAAACATTAACTTGTAAACTATGTAAAAGTTTCAAAGTCAATGAACCATAATTAGGGGGTGGGGTTATATAATCTCCATGGAAATGAAACTTGCAAATGCCAATAAATATGCATACCGAATATCATTGACTTAACATTAGTGGTTCATCTTAAACTGACCTAATCACAAACTAATACATGTAAACTAGGCAAAAGTTTCAAAGTCAATGAACCATGATGAGGGGTAAGGACCAAATATTCTCCATGGAAATGAGATGTGCTAATACTTATACAACTGCATACCAATTATCATTGACCTACCACTAACGGTTCCCCTTAAACTGACCTAATCACAAACTAATACATGAAAACTAAGCAACAGTTTCAAAGTCAATAGACCATGAATGAGGGGGCGGGGCCAAACAATCTCCATGGAAATGAGATATGCCAATGCTTATACAACTGCATACCAAATATCATTGACCTACCACTAGTGGTTCCCCATAAACTGACCTAATCACAAACTAATACATGTAAACTAAGCAAAGTTTCGTAGTCAATAGACCTTGACTGAGGGGGAGGGGCCAAATAATCTCCATGGTAATGAGATGTGCCAATGCTAATATAACTGCATACCAAATTTCATTGACCTACCAATAGTGGTTCACCATGAACTAGACCTAATCACAAACTAATACATCGTTGACGCCGTCGCCAACACCGGAAACAGCATACCTATGTCTCACTTTTTGACTCCGTCAAGGCGAGACAAAAATGAATTCAAAAAGTCTTGCCACCTATTTTATAAAGAAAAGGAATATCATGAATTTACAAAAAATAAGTTGTTACAATTATTATGATCAAACAATGTCCTCAATTAAATGTACAAATAACATTGTATGTAGCTGTGGTGATGAGGTGTGTACTGAGGATAACAAAAGGACCTACTGAGGATAACAAAAGGACCTAACTTTGGGGAAAAGTTGGCCCAGAAAAAACTGAGACAGAACACTTAATGTCAGATTCCTTACTGTATGATATTATTGAAATAATCACATTTTTATTCATACAAATGTCTGATTTTTTTTCTACCACTGTATAACATCATATATGACATTTACCACTTTCATCAGTTCTTCAAATATTTTAAGATCTAAGTATGCATCACATCTTCGAATTACAAAACTTAACTATCTTGATTGGTTGATGTTGCAGTATTTATTTTGAATATGACCAGCTATATATTCATTTCAATCTTTAGTATTAATAAATTTTTGTTTTTTCTTTTCTAATTGTCCAAGTGCACGGTATATATTTTTCTTGGTTTCTTTGTGTTTCTTTTCCCTCCCTACATCTATCTTCTTCATCTTTTTCTCGTGTTCTGCTGCTCTGTCTCTCATTTTAAACCTTTCTGTCTTACGCTTATGTTCATGTAATGTCTTTAACATTTTCATTACTTTTGCAACCTGTATAAGAGTATAAAAAGATTCTATATATTTCAATAAATAAAAAAAATTAGTAAAGGCTTTAAAGAGCATGTACTGTCAATATGCCAGTGACTGTGAAAGGAATTTTTATGTAAATCTCCATAAGATCAGTTGTAAATTTGTTGGTAGTAATAGCTATCTTTGAATTTAGGATCACTTTTCATTTCTAAATGATGTCTGTATTTTTTTTCTCCATTTTCTATGTTAACAAATAAATAAACTTATCACAGAGATATATCTCGCCTTTTTGTAATTTTGATAATGCAAATGTTGAAATTAAAATAGCAATACTTTAACATGCAAGTTATGCAAATATTCAAAGTGGCTAT